AGTGAAAAGCGTGAAGGGAGCCCTTGCTAGCTGGTGGTTAAATTGAAGAAGATTAAGGCTGACTTTACCCAGAGGAGATTTGGGGAAAGCAAAAATTTGAGAAACCAAAGGAACTCAGTAAAATATGATAGACTTGAACTTGGGGCTTCTTTGAGAAGACCAGAACGGTTTTTGTATGTCTGTGAGCCTAGATGCACATAGATAGTTATGTATGAGTATAAAGCAGGAGTGCCCAAGCTGTTAGTTAGAAAAGGAGGTAGGGCAATCTAACAGAACATGGTAATTCAATGATGAAGGAGCTTTTTAAATGACCAGTGCCGATAGAAGCATCATTTGGCTCTTTGACTCTGATCCTGCAGTTACAAATCTACCATCAGCTAGATACTTATTTTTCTCAGCTATGACTTCTTAACAAGTAAGGCAGCAGTGTCATGAATACACAAGGACTTTAGGCTAAATGTTAAAGGTTTTCTTTAAATTCTTTATATAAGAAGTTATGAATAGTTGTTCTAAGTAGCAACAATAATACAATAATAGTGGAATGTGAATATATAGATATTCACTTGTACTTATAGTTAGAATCTGATGATGTGTGTATATATATATGTATATATAAAGGGGAATTGCAATGGGAAAAGAAAGGCGAATATAAGATAGAAAGCACAGAACAGAAAAGATGGAAAATGTCCAGTCACTTAGGTTTTTTTAATTCTAGAGTAATCCTATGTATGTACAAATACTGGAAATTTTATAGAAAATCTCCTTAAAATTTGGCCATGTACTATCAGTAGCTTCAGATCACTGAAGATCTATAAATTTATGCTTAGAACATAATGTTTAACAATGCTTTGGCAGCTCCTGGTTATTTAAAACCTCTTGATTTTAATTTCACATGAAGTACATTACATTAGAAATATCTGGACCACTGTTGTTTACCAGCTTTATGCTACAAGACAGATTTTAAAAATACCATATAGTTTACTTTTATTCTTATATTTCTTTTGAAATACCGACTCAAAGAATTGCAAAATAATTGAGGTTGTAAGGGACATATGGAGATCCAAACAACTCCTGTTCAAGCAGGACCCTTACAGCCAGTTGCTCACCATCATGTCCAGATAGCTTTTGAGTATCTCAAAGGATGGAGATTCCATAGTCTCTCAGGACAACCTCTTACAATGCTTGGTCACCCTCACAGTAAAAAAACTGTTTCCTGATGTTCAGAGGCAATCTCCTGTGTTTGTGTCTGTGCCTGTGGCCACTGGCGCTGTCACTGGGCACCACTGAGAACACTCTGGTTCTGTCTTCTTTGCACTCTCCTTTCAGATATTTATATACATTAATGATATACCACCCTGAGCCTTATCTTGTCTTGAATAATAGTCCCAGTGCTCTCAGCCTGTCCTCATGGGAGAGATGCTTCATTGCCTTTTGTAATCTTCATGGCCCTTTGTTAGACACCCTCCAGTATGCTCACATCTGTCTTGTACTGAGTAGCCCAGAACTTTACACACCACTCCAGGTGTGGCCTCACCAGCATTGAGCAGACAGGAAGAATCATTTCCCTTGACCTGCTGGCAATGTTTTGCCTGATGCAGCCCAGATACCATGAGCCTTCTTTGCAGCAAGGGCACATTACTGGCTCACGTTCAACATTGTGTACTCCTGGACCCTCAGGTCCTTTTATGCAAAGCTTTTGAATTTCAGTAAAGCTTTTCATACTGTCTCTCACAGGATCCTTCTGGACAAACTGTCCAGCACACAGCTGGATAAACACATCATGTAGTAGGTGAGCAATTGGCTCACGAGTCAAGCACAGAGGGTTACAGTGACTGGGGTAACATCAGACTGGTGACCTGTCACTAGTGGCGTTCCACAGGACTCCATCTCAGGCCCTGAGCTCTTCAACATCTTCATAAATGACTTGGATGCAGGACTGGAGGGGATACCAAGCAAGTTTGCAGATGACACAAAACTCGGTGGAGCTGTTCACTCCCTCAAAGGCGCAGAGGCCCTGCGGAGAGACCTCAACAAATGAGAGGACTGGGCAATCACCAACCATATGAAGTTCAACAAGGGAAAGTGGCTGATTCTGCGCCTGGGATGGGGCAACTCTGGATGTACAGACAGACTCGGGAATGAGATACGGAAAAGCAGTGCCAAGGAAAGTGACCTGGGAGTTCCTGGTCAGTGGCCAGTTGAGTATGAGTCAGCAGTGCCCTGGCAGCCAGGAGGGCCAACTGTGTCCTGGGGGGCATCAGGCAAAGCATCACCAGTGAGGCGAGGGAGGGGATTGTCCCACTCTGCTCTGCACTGGTGAGGCCTCACCTTGAATATTATGGCAGGTTTGGGCACCACAATATAAGAAAGATATTAAGCTGTTAGAGAGTGTCCAATGAAGAGCAACGAAGATGGTGAAGAGCCTTGAAGGGAAGCCGTCTGAGGAGCGTCTGAAGTAATTTGGTGTGTTCACCTGGAGAAGAGGAGACTGAGGGGAGACCTCAATTGCAGTCTACAACTTCCTTGTGAGGTGAAAAAGAGGAGAGATCTCTTCTCTGTGGTGACCAGTGACAGGACCTGAGGGAATGGCCTCATTCCCTCAGGGGAATGAGTTGTGTCAGGGGAGGTGTAGGTTAGATCTTAGGAAGAGGTTCTTCATCCAGAGGGTGGTTGGATGGTAGAATAAGCTCTCTAGGGCAGTGGTCACAGCACCAAGTCTGACAGAGTTCAAGAAGCATTTGGATGATATTCCCAGGCGTATGGTGTGGCTCTTGGGTATGGTTCTTTGCAGGGCTAAAAGTTGGACTCGATGATCCTTGACGGTCTTTCAAACTCAGCATATTGTGTGATTCTCTACAGCTGGGAGGCCTCCAGCATATACTGATGCCTGGATTTGCTCCTTCCCAGGTGCGTGAGTTTGCACATACCTCTGGATGGCACCATGACCCTCTGCCAGCCAGTTTGATGTCAGCTGCAAACTTGCTGAGGGTACACTCTGGCCTATCATGCAGATCATTAATGAAGGTGTTAAACAGGATTGGACCTAGTGCTGATCCCTGAGATAGATCGCTAATTATTAGCCGCAATCTGGAGTTTGTGCCACAGACCACCATGTTTGGTGGCCTAGCTATTCAGCCAGTTTTCGACTCACCTCACTGACTGTTTATCCAGCCCACATATCAAGAGCTTGTCTACAGCTTGTTTTATAACAGGATCTTATGGGAGACAGTGTCAAAGGCTTTACTAAAGTCCAGGTAGACAATATCCACTACTCTCTCCTCATCTACCAGGCCAATTATTTCTTCATAAATGTTTATCAAGTTGGTCAAGCATGACTTCTCTTTACTGAAGCCACGCTGAGTACTCCTGATGATTTTTTTTGTCCATAATGTTCCTGGAAATTCCTCCATCACCTTCTCAGGGATTGAGGTGAGGTTGACAAGACTCTGATTCTCTGAGTCTTCCTCCTTCCACTTCTTGAAGATAGGAGTGATATTTGCTTTTTCCAGCCTTTGGGATATTACCCCAGTTGCCATGATTGATCAAAAATAATTAAGAATGGCCTTGCAATGACATCTGCCAGCTCCCTTGGCACTTGTGGGCATCCCGTAAGGGCCCAAGACATTCATATGTCTTGTTTGCTTAATTTATCAGGTTTCCTCAGACCTGATCCTCTTTCACCAAGGGTACATCTTCCTTTCTCCAACCTTGTCTCCTGGTCTCTGGGGCCTGGGATTCCTGAAGGCTGCTCTTGCTAGTAAATACTGAGTCAAAGAAGACATTCAGTACCTCAGCCTTTTCCATGTCTGTGTAACCAGGTCCCCCATCTCACTGAGCAATGGGCTCACATTTTCCCTAGTCTTCTGTTTGTCACCTGTGTACTTATAGAAGCCCTTCTTGTCTTTGACATCCTTGGCCAAATTTAGTTCCATTTGAGCTTTAGCTTCCCTGACTTTGTCCATGCTCAGATACTATTTGTGTGTCCCTCCCAGCTTATCCGTCCTTACTTCCAGCCTCCGTATGCTTCATTTGAGTTTGGCTAGGATCGTTATGTTCATCCATGCAGGCCTCCTGGCATTTTTTTTTAACTCTTTTGAGCTTGGCAGAGCTCCTTAAATATTAACCAGCTTTATTGTGTCCCATTACATAGGGCCTAATCCCACGGGACTCCTCCAAGCAGAGGCCAGAGTCTGCTCTTCTGAAGGCCAGGGTTGGGAGCTTGCTTTTTACTCTCCTTCCTGCCCTCAGGATCTGGAACTCCACTACCTCATGGTCACTGCAGCAGAGGCTGCCTTTGCCTTTCACCTCCCCAACAAGCCCATCTCCATTTGTGCCTGTATCACTTGGAAGAAGAAGTTATCATCAGTGCACTTCAGGAACCTGGATTGCTTGCAAAAACTGGTGAAAGTGATACCTACCCCTGATTCTGGTTTGTCCTTGTCAAAACTGGGGCAATATTTCCATTACTCCAAGGTTTATGAGCAAGCTTTGTACCAGCCCTTCTTAAGCAGCTTCACTGGTTCCTGTTGCCATTATTTTGCTTATAATAACTGTACTGATTAACTATCTTTTTATTCTTATGATATTGGCATTTCCAAATAGTAAAAACTGTAGAAATACATTAGTGTTCAATTCATATAATTTATTGAACAAAGAATAGAAATAAATTTCTGTACAGCTGATCTAATGTTATCTGTTCTCCCTAAGAATAGGTGACTGCACAATCAGTATAAAAATGAATTAATGACAAAAGAAACCATATTTTACACATTATGTGTGTGTTTGTATAAAATACGATTACAATGGGATGTAGATTTCATCATGTTATACAAAAGGAACTATGTATTACTTGAATTTGACTTTATCATATCATTAGTGTTGCCCTACATCTTGTTGAGGGTTTTTTTATGCTTCATATTGATATACCAGAAGGTGTTGTAGGCTGCTGACTTTTCTACAGAATTAATCCTAACTTTGATCTCTTTTACCATACTGTGCAGGAGTTCTGAAGAGAGCTAGTGGGGAGCTTTTAATAGGAGAAACTAGAGCAAATGAAACCAGCGTGCTTCCTGAACAGTTACTTCAGGTAGAAGAGGTGAGTATGAAAAGAGTCTTACACTTTTTATGGGATTTTCTTTTGTGTGTGTCTGCAGTGAAGTCTGTCATCGTGTTCATTATAAACACATATTGCCATAGTTTCATTACTTTAGCTACTTTGATTTATTTTAGGTGCAAAGTCTCAGTTAAGATGGAATAAAATCTTCTGGCATTCATGAAGAAGTGGTTGGTATTTAATAACAGAATTTAACATAAGATACCTCAAAACAAAAAATTGCTAAAATATCATAACTTTCTTAGTATTATATATGTATTATCAAATACAGCAGAATCTTAAAAAAAAATCTATGAAATTCTTACAATTTAATAATAATGATTCTTCCTATAGGGATAGGTACTCACACAATGTGTAGTTTCTTTCATGCCAACAAACTATTGTGTAGTAAGCACTATGTTTTGTAGAATGTATGTACAAGATAAGGTTTTTGTCTGGCTCAAATTTACTACTAAACACATTTATGTTGTTGATTTTATGGGACCTAAATGCTCTAACAAGTCTGATACTTTGTGATAGTGGAATTTAATTTTTTAATGGTTCAATTTTAATGGTGGAAAACTTTTTAAATGTGCTTTGAATCAGTTTGTGAGACTAATGTTCTTACAGATTACAAAGAAGAATATTTTGAGTAGATTGATCCCTGTCAGAGACCGGATTCATATCTCACCGGATTGTTTGATTGATGGGTCAAATAAACCATGCTATCTGTGTGTGTGGAGGTGGGGGGAGGGCTAAGCCTAGGCCTGCAGCCAACAGGGCTGTGCCCGTGCAGAGCACACGGCAGGGAAGGCCGTGTGGCTGGGCTGTCAATCACACCACACCCCCTGGAGCGGTGTGGCACCCCTCACTTTGGTTAGGGGGACAGTGAGTGGCAGTGAGCCAAAGGTCCTGCCTAGAAGGGGTGGCCACAACAGCCAGAGTCTATAAACAGACACACACGTGGTCTCCATCTTGCCTTGGCCTCTGCCCTGCTGACCTGTCAACATGTGACCTCCAGAGTTGTAAATATGTCCCTCTCTTCTCTTATTCTTTCTTCTCTTAATATCTCTTCCTTTCCTCTTGTGGGCAACTTAAACACCTTTTTTCTCTGTTTCACCTAATTTGTGGGTATTTCATTTAAGTTGTATGGACCTTGTGTTTGCTGAGTGTAACACAGGTTCCCTTACTACAGCAATGCTTGCTAGTCTCAGTAATCTGTTGTAATGCTTTTGGGAAGTTGCATGTTATTTCTGTAAAACCCTTTTTGCCAAAATACCTATTTTCTCACCAAATTAAAAAAATCTCTTAGACAAAAGTGTGTAGTTTTTCTCTGGACATGAACTCAAGGTATCAAAGAATAAAAGACTTTGCAAGGGTTTGTGGGCGAAATCTCTCTAAGTCTAAAATTGAAGTGTACAGCCTGTAAAAGCATGGAGCTTCTGGACCAGCGTGCAACAATTTCAGCCCCCTCCCCGCTCTTCCCCACCCAGAAAGGGGGAGTTCAAAACTGCGTGTCCATGGGGGCTGTCTCTGTGCTGACTGGAGTTGAATGCTTGGAGTGGAGAAAGGGAAAGGAAGCATACAACTTTTCAATTGAAGTAAGGTGGAAGGCTTTCACTTTGTAGCCCTTCATTGTCTTTCGATTTAGTATTATAGCTGCAGTTTACTGGGAATCCTTCTCTTCTCCCATTATGCCCTCATGGTGGAGATCCAGTATTTACTGAACATCATCTTGTGTAATTAAAATATGTCTCTTACAGTGGTGCAATTCCCAATTGGCCACTTCTGGTAAGGTTTAAGTCTGATGTATGTCATAAGAGCAATGCAAAGTCAGATAAGTTGAAAAGTGATGATGTCTTACTATATCTACCTCTCTTTAATGTTACACTTCAGATGACTTCAGAAGTCTGTGTAAAGAAGGCGGGGAACTGATGTAAACCGTAGTAAAAGTCAGCATTGGCTAAAAACTATAAATCTCAATTTAATAATTTTGCTCTTTGCTAAATCCAGCTCTAGAAAAGAGAAATACAGTGTGGCTGTGTTAAAACCAGCTTCTCTGAAGAGGTTTCCATTAAGATTCATAGTTAGTAACTTCCATTTGCTATCTTGTGGTGAAAATTGTTACAAGGTATATACTGCTAGATTACTTTTTATATTATTGAAAATGGTTGTAAATTCTTTTGACTTTGTTAAATAGATTCTGTTAAAGGTTACAAATCAAGTAAAGATGAAGCGTATATTTTAAAAGCTGTCTTGTTTAAACAGGATTATTTTTTCTTTAAAATTTAATGACAAATTTAATATTGTTATGCGTGTTCATTTTTCTTGAGTGTAAATACTGCTTTTAATACAATTTCAGGGCCAGCAGACTATATTTTAAGTTCTTGGTGTCCTCTGATTTAATTATGGATGTGCATTTAATTTTCAGACAATAACACTCAATAATGACTTTGGATTGATTTAGTATTAATATGTATTTCAGCCTATTTTACTGAATTTTGGCTGGAGAAATGCATTTAAAGACCTGTCTTCTTCTGTGGCTCACTGTATAACAATAGCAATCGAGGATTTTTCATCTAAAATTCTTCAACATGAGCAGAAAGAAGAGTTTTCAGCTGCAGGCTGTGCAATGAGTCTTGTAAACAACCAGCAAATGAGGGAGTCCTGCAGAGCAGTCCAAGAGGAGGAGCAACCAAAACGAATTGCTAAGGCAGGTATCAAAAGATCTGAAGTTTGAGGGGAGACAGAATGCCAAGGCTGTTTGCCATCTACACTTTGAAGTACTTACAGTAGTATTAATATTCTATATCTGATATAAATGGAATTAAAAAGAAAGTGAGAGGCATTACAATGTGAAGCTGAACAGAGCTTTATACAATAGCCCGTAGTGTTTACTTGAAAGAATTGACTTTTGAACTTCACTGGCATTATTTCTTTCAGCCAAAAAGTTCTAAAACTTTCTGATTTATTCTAACATTCATTCTAACATTCTGCTCTGTTACCAAATGTTTCAATGGGAAAATGCTGAAAGCTTTGAAATGTGGATATAAAGGGATTTCTTGTATTCATATCATTAGACATGCCATTCAATTAATCATAACCTGTATTATGGCCAATTTAGAGTTCTTTGATTTGGCTGAAAGGTCACTTATTAATTAAATTGTTTTCTGAGGGAATGTGTGTTTGAAAGTCTTTTTTAAGTAAGCTTTACAACTATTCTAGCAGATTTGGAATGCTGTTAATAAATGTTTGCTTAAAATAAGACAAAAGCTTTTGGGAGATAATTTTAGGGAGTCCAATGTATGAATTTATTAGGAGATTACAAGTTTGTATCCAAATTCAGTGTTAAGAAATTTGTTTGTATATTTTTCAAAATAAATTAGTTTAGAAAATTATCTTTGTTTACAAGGAATTAATTTTGCTTTGAATGTACATTTAGTGAAATTAAAACCAAAATGAAGGCATTACTAGCACAAGATGGTTTTAATTCTTTCCCCCAATATACACTGTGCAACTTTAAAGCAAGAAGAAATAAAAGAATAATTCATTTACTGTAGATAAATGTTTCTCTCCTGTTTAATATGATGCCTTAAGACTCTTAGTTTCTTATTTTTCTAATCTTGTAAGCTTTATAAATTTTATAAGTAGAAGTAGATTTTAGAAACAGCAGCCCTTACTCCTCACCCTTTAGCACCCTTTAGTTTACACATTCCTCAGCCCTCTTACCCTATTCCATGCTCCCCATATCAATTCTACCCCCGAATTCAGTAGAAATGTTTAGTCTTTTGTCAAGGCAAGGCCTCTTCTGTTTAGAGAACACTCATATCTTGACCTGAACAACAGAACACAGTCAAGAACTAGGTGAACGTGTACCCTTTGTGCTCTGAAGATGGTGAAGATGATGAAGAAGTGGTCCCAAAAGCCCCAGACCCAATTCCCAAGGGGTGGGCCAGGGGGTGGACCAGGGAAAAAGCAACGGGATGGACAAAACTTGGATTGGTTGGGCAGTATTATAAAATGTAACATCTCAGGCACGGCCTGCGCGCGCGTCTTGTAACATCTATGCCTAGGCATAAATTAAACCCTTTCCTTATCTCACCCTCAATTAACTGCTTCAGAGTTTTTTTTTTCTTTAGCAGCATTTTAGGCATCAAATAGATTGAAATATTTGTAAAGCTCATTCAATATATTTATGTTTTGTGCCAATTTTATTTTTCAAGAATCTGACCCTAATGTATATAAATTAAACAGTGCTGTCAGAATACAAATAATTTGATGCCCTGTTTATTTTCTCAGTTTTGTTCTGACATCATGGAAGAACTGGACACGTTGCTTCCATTGGCCCTGGCATGCAGAGATGATTCTCTTCAGGAAATTAGAGCAAACTTCGTAGAGGCCTGCAGCAAAGTGGCAACAGCTGTGCTGGCAAGACTCGAGGAGAAGAGCAAAGACATTCCCTCCAAGGCTCCCCTGCAAGACTTATGTGCTGCCCTTTCCACAGCAATATATGTCTTTCAGCATTTTACAATGTACAGCAATTTAATGAGAGAAACAAGCAAAAAGTAGGTCCTTTTTATTTATAATGCTTAATTCAAACACATGTGACTTCATTGCATTTTGGTGATACAGTATGGTGGTAGTTTTCCAAATTGCATTATATTTTTAGCACACTCAGTGTGTGTGCTATTTATGGAAAGACCTGAATCAAAATTATTGATAGTCTAAAGCTGCCTTTACAAAACAAATTAATTATATTCAAGATCTACATTCTATTTGCAGATCAATATTTTTTATTTATTAAGCTTGAGAAAATAGAATTGTCCAGTGAACTGAATGTACTCTGCTCTCATATAAATAAAGGGCTAAGGCCTTTTCTCACCTCTGTAATAGCTGAATTTTCATAAAATCTAATTTAGCCCATAGCAAATCTTAGAGGACAACATACAAATACATTTCTGTGCTTTTTCCTTACACCACCTGTATTCAGGCATGTAAACAAATACATCCAGTGTAGTTTTAGAATTTTTTTTTTCTTGCATGCAGAATAAAAATTAGGGGAGATATGAAGCAGGAGTGTAAAGTCAAAGACAGTGTTTGACCTGGGGGGCAGTATAATTTCATTTGCTGTGCTTTTAGAGATTTTGACTTAAGATATTAGGAATTTCTTTATTGGTCCATATGTTTCCGGCCATATGTAATTGAAAAGTAGAAGCTGTACCTTTTGGGAGGGATGCTGAATTAGCACGATTTTCAAGGAATGTATTATTTCTGAGTGGTTTTATGCACTGTTGAGCTACTTTCCGTCTGATGTTTTACTCTCTTCTGCATGAAGTATATCTTTGTGAATGGGAAGTCTGAGCCAAAATACTGCTCAGTAATTCTATTTAGGTGTATTATCAAAGAGTTTTAGTACATACCTACCAAAAGCAATCTCTGTACTCTGTGCTTATGTTTTCTTTATCACACTCAGTGCTGATGTAATAATTGCTGATGCAAGTATGCTGCAACACATAATCTTCAAATATGGGAATGACAAAAATACTTTCGTCTCAGCAAATAGGATGAAGTAATTTATTTCTCAGTGACTTAGGTAAACGTGAATTTATAGACAAGGAGACATATTTAAAGAATTTTTGAAACAAAGAATTTCAAAAGTGAGTACTAGGTTCAGACTTCAGAATCGAGGGGAAATGAATGATTGATATCTACTAATCAAGACTATTTGCAGTACTGGGGATTGTTACCTCCTACTGCACAGCCTTTCAATCACTGTCTCTTTCATCATTCTCTCTGAACAGCCCCCTGTTCCTAGTGCTTGTCCAACAATACCAGGAATTCATCAGTGTTCTCCAGTTTCAAGTTACGAACTACTGCATCAGAGTTTGTGCTACAAGCATATTACAGGATGCTGAGAGCCACCACTGGGATGACTACAAAGCTTTTTATGAGGTGTGAGGTTAAGTTTACTGTGCCTCCCTTTTACAAAATGTGTTTACTGGTTGCCAACTCTCTGACTAATTAGAAGCATAAGATCAGCATTCTTTTTACATAACAGTTGTTGGGATTTACTCTTTTGAAATATCTATTATTGCAGGCAAATGTCTCTCTAGAAATGACATAGAAAAACATAATCATTTAAAAGTGAGATAAATGGTTACCATGAAGTGTTTGTGTCATTTGCTTTGTAAAATATTGTGTGTTAAGACATTTATATAGAACTCAGTAAAGAAGACGTCATCATCTTAATATCTAAGAACTTTACAGTTGTAAAGTTGTAAGAAAATGTAACATTGAAAATCTTCTGGGAAATTTTTCATCTCATTATTTAGTTTTTACTTTCAAGTGGTTCCCCTTTTATTTTTTGGGAATGAAAGATGTAACAAAGAAAGATGGTCAAGATAGTTACCTTAAACATTCAGCAGTAGATTTCTGAGGTAAACAGTGCCATTTCACCTGCATTTTGAAGTCACAGGTCTGATGTATAGCTGTAATCCTAATGATTCTATGAAAAAAAAAGATAATTACTTTTGTTTATTGGGTTTTTTCCTTAATTGCTGTTAAATGCAAACATAGATTGACACTGTTTGAAATTATTTTCACTTGATTGCAGGATGAAGTATTATATGTTTTTTATCAATAATATCTGAGGTCTCCTAGAGACAAAGTCCTGTCCTTCCTTTTATCACTTTTTGTGTAAGACAATTAGTGTGGGTTTTTTACGCATTTTCTAGAATTCTTACATGAAAGAAAATTCTCTGTGATACATGTATTCTACAGATGTAGTATAAAAAACAGCTAAGCAGTGACAAAAATGTGTACTGGACAGGGCATGCAGACCTTAATACAAGTGATCTATCAAAATGTCCATCCCTCAAAGTAAAGTAAATAAACATTTTACTTTTGTTTGAATATTGGCCCAGATGATGAAGTAAGAAATGTCATGGCTTTTGGCAACTGATAAATCATGATACAGTCTTGATTGTCCATAGTCCATATGGTGCTGTGTGCTGTTTGTTAGTGACCCAGTAGCTTCACCATGGAGGAAACCTAATTGTGAGAAATAGTTGTCCAAAGACAAAAAAATATGGAGTAGCTAAACAGTTTTATCACTGCTGACCAGAACTGATGTGTGTAGGAAGGGATGAGGAAAGTCAATGTCTCAGCTCTTTAAGGTTTGCAGGACTTGAGGTGGGAAGTATGTAATTTTACGTCATCACTCTGCTCTTTTTACTGGGTCATGGGAGATGGCCCAAAGGTGGACCATGATCTGCGTGGAGCGCCTTCATGAGGCACAATGCTGAGCAGTTGTTACTTCCATTGGCCTCTTGTAGGCATCCCAAATGAAAGAGATTGGATTAAGACCTATTGCCTGTTACAGAGGCAACATCCTACTGAAACTCTAGCAGTTAGTGTAGCAGACATCTGCTGTAGCTGTGGAAACTTCTGTTTTATAATAGTCAAAAAATAAAGAATTGTCTGTTCAGAGATAATATTGAGTGGCTTATACAATAAAGCACACCTGGTTGTTGCCTGATATATAAGCTAAATAAAAGCTCACATCTGTTTGTATTATATGGAGCCTGCAAAAATAGCAGATATTTATCAGTTCAATTGTCTAGAAATGGCAGCAAGTAGAAAAATAGGTCAGAAAAGGGGAATGCATCTCATTTAAATCTTTAGTGACACTGTTGCTTCTGCAATGGAGGTACAATGCTAAGAAAGGGGGGAAAGGGTATTACTTAAATTAGCGCAGAGAAAGTGAAAACAATTTGTGTTTATTGTTACAGTTAAAAAGTAAAACTCACCAACATTCAGTTACTTAAAAAAGTAAATGTCCTGTGTCAAAAAGTCAATTTAGATATATATATTTGGGTTTCAAGTCTGCATGGGTTTGGAAAATTTTTAAATTTGTTTTTGAAGTTAAAGATAGGACCAAAATAATTTTGCTTCCATCTGGCATTCAAACTAATTACGTTTTAACTGTAAAGTTTATTCTGTAACAGTTGAAATATTTTTGCAAAGAAGTGGAAATCTCAGTAAAATGTAAGGTAAGGTTAGGGACTTATTTCTGCATAGGTTCTACTTAAATGTACCTCAAGAGTAATCATGATAATGCATCTAAAAGCCCAGGCATCTAGAAATGTATTAACATTGAAGTTATGCAAACTTATGAACTTATGAGTTGTGTCATGAAGTAAACTTGTACTTTCTTATTATATTTCCATGTGTCATGCAATAAGATTGTAATTGTATTTCATATAAGAAAAATAGGAAATTATTTTAATATATCCATTATTTTATTACATAAACTTCTGGTCAGCGTAAGACAATCCTGTTTTATCGGTATGAAAACACTTGTCAAGTGCTTGGTTGTTCAAAATACTAGTGGGTTTTTTGTTTGTTTTCCTATTGAAATACAGTGTTTATGGTTGTATGTAGAAGGAAAATTAGTCATATGATTTTCTTTTGAAACTCATCTGTAGATATTTTTTCTCTTCTGCATTAGTGAAACCTGAAAATTGGATGCCCTAATGATTTAGATGTTGGGGGTTTTTTCCCTAAATTAAATTTCAGAGATGCCTACATCACTCATAATCTTAAGGACCAGAGTGGTGGTCATAAATTTGGTACTTTCGTTCTTTGTCACTTTTTAATATAAAATGCACTTCAAATATTATGGCAGAGAAAGACCAAATAATGACAATTTCCAAATATCTGCTAATGCCCTGTATTTAAAAAGAAGCCAGATTATTTTAGATTTTTATTGTTAAAGAATGCCTATTAAACTCTGTGTTTTGAAAATTGTGGAGTTATTTTATATTTCTGATAATGCTAAAATATCAAAAAATTCTTAAAATATTTCTCTGTTCCTTTGGAATATGGGAAGTGGAGATTGCAGTCTCTGTTCTCGTACGGCTTCATCGTGCTATTTTCTGACTAGGTATCAGTTGAAATATTTAAATGTAAGTTATACTATCTACTTCTTAGAGATTTTGTGGATTAACTGCTGTGATTTTGACTCCTCTGTATTTATTTCTGTATCTTAATGGGGTAGTTCTGTATAGACAATGAAATATTAGTGCCAATGCTGATTCCTTCCCAGAAAATGTTTGATTTCAATGAATTACCATTATAAGATAAAAAATACCTTACTAAAAAATTCTGGACATCTGTTATTATCAGTTTAATAGTTCAGTTTTTCTTTTTTTCTGCTCTTATTTCATATCTATTATACATAAAGTTTTATAATCATGGTTATGCATAGCATTTATTAATCTGGATAAATACATATGCTTAAGTAATTTAAATAATTATTTTCTTTGCAGACAAGCTGTTACATTAAATTTGTCTGACTTCTGTAGTGAGTAGAGAATACTGTATATGTTTTAAAACTAAACTTACAACACTATGGGTCTTGAGAATAGGTTAACTGAGGATATAAGAGGTCAAATGATGTGGTTTGATTATGTGGCAGACCTGTAATTTTGTGACTGAAATGCAGCGTGTGTTGCCTTTCTAATAAAGATGTCTCACATCTTGTCAAGGACCATTTGTTGGTCATCATATTCCTGAAGCTCTTCAGCTATTTCCCTTCAGATGGATTTAATTATACTTACAGGAATTAAACTGACATTTTCAAAGGTGTGGTTTTATTATGTAATGTGTTGTGATTTTGCTAGGGGGAAAGATGCTCATTCTCTGTCCAGATGTGGCATTACTTCTGCTGTGCTATTCGTCATGATCTATGGACTATTCTACCTCCAAAGACAGCCCAGGAGATTCTTACAGATATACTAGAGCAATCTTTGGATATTCTGTCCTCCAGATATTGTCAGGTGCATCCCAGTTACAAGAGAACACCTCAAATCAGGTAATGGTTGTATATTTAATGCACAGTTGTAATGGATAAAATAAATAAATGTTAGTTTTCTGTTATGCACTGCTTTGATTCAGATTTAAATGTTAATGAACACAGCAGAGGGGATAGACCAGATTTGTACATTTTGATATTCATTTTAATTCAATATATTCTGTATATTTAGGTATATAGGTAGTCATACCATGAGCTGGGCAGAATCAAAGACCTCTTTCAACTGTTGGTGAAATTGTTCCATAAACTGCTTGACTGGTTTGAAAGCCTCACAGTGAAAATGCATTGAGAAATGGTGATGCAACCAAAAATGTGAGCAGAATTGGCAACATCAGTATTAGAAATCCAGCTGTTGATTCATCAAGAAAACTTCATGTGTTCCAATAGAATTTGTATTTTTATAGGGCTTTTCAAGTAAAAGAGTTAGTAGGTCACATCAAAAGATTTGCCAGAATGACACCAGTGGTGCAGAGGGAGAGAGAGGATAAAGAGGCTATTCCTTCTTCTGTCATTTTTGGAAATAAGAAGCTGAAGTTCTTCTGATTGGGATTCTTATGTTTTGCCAGAAAGGAGGGTCTTTTTGACAGAATGCAGTTTCGTTCAAACTTCTTTCAGTTTTTATCCTGTCGTTCATTTTTTTCTTCCCTCTCTGGGAAGCAGGCCTCGCTGTCAAGTTTTGGAGACTTGGCGGGAAGCCAGCTCAAAACTTGCACAATGTCATTTGGAAAAGGATATTTCCAAGGTTTTTAACTTCTTTTTTTTGAGTAGTCTCAGTAATGACTTTTCTGTGGAAGTGTTGAATTCTTACAGAGTAGTGGATTCAGACTTCCTACATCGCTGAAGAGGAAATTTCAAATCCATGCTGTGATTTATACTTGTCAGAGGAAACATCTATTTAATTGAAATTTACTACTATCCAGATGTCCAAAGTAATCTTATTTTTGCTTTTTTTTTTTTGCCTAAAGAATTGATATTGCAGCAATTTTGATGTCCACTGAAGATATGCTCTGGTCAAGTTGTAGTTCTGTACAGGAGTTTCTGAATCCACATGAAGACAGAGATCTCAAGATCTATAAAATACATAGCCACTGCAATAATCTGATCTCTGTGCTGGCTATTTTAACTTCACCACTGAAGAATTTGTATGAGTAAGTATGAAATAAACATTCCATTTGAGATAAAATTGGTTCTTGACCTTACATGGATAGGTCTAAAGGGTGAATATTTGTGTTGAAATCAAATGAAATGCATACTGTTGTTGCATTTTTGTAATCTTTGACTATTTCTCAATTTTGTCTTGAACTTACCTTTATGATCTTACCTAAAGCCCAGTTATATCTGCTGGTATTTTATTAGCCTTGGATCAAACTCCTATGCTGTACAATTTTTGGCTGTTGATAACATAGACCATAGTGAATGGACTGATTTCCTCTGTAACACAAACAGTAGAATTTCATAATAATTACAGTGCCAGATTTGTAATTTGCTTTTCAGTTAGCATTTTTTTTTTGAAATTCAGTCTTGTCCATCTAAAAACATTTACTAATATGTACCAAAGACTTTGATAAGGTTTTCAAGGACTTAGTTATTCACCATTTAAAAAAAAAAATCATCTTACTAGTTAAAATACATCTGCCTTCAGCTTCCAAGTACATTAGAATGTTCTGCTTTCATCCCATAACATTTTTTATAAGTACTGAAATGTAAAGATAATTTACTGGAATGATCATCTGGTTAGATAATCAGTATGCTTCAACAAATATTAATATATTTTAAAAGATAAAGAATATAGAATTGCCATATTTATGAAATCATGTCTTCACAAGTCACAGCTATAAACCAAAGGAAACATTACTTGCACTGAAATTGGGTCTGAGTCTTTCAGTGCTAAAATTCTACTGTAAATTTCATATATGAGATAATACAAAGTGAGATCACAAAAAAAAAAACAAGGACAACAAAACTGCAAAGTAACAAAGACACATCCTATTCAACTCTCTTATTATTCCAAGTAGGAATATTTTAGGTACTACTTGGGTGGAGACCTCCTGAATTTAAGCTTCTTCAGCTAAAAATTTTTTGTCATGTGTGGGCTCTTTTTTAATATTTGTGAGCTCTAATGAACATGCAAAAGTAGATTGTAACTGGATGTTTGATCTTACACAATGCAGGCTTATGAAAAAATAGCAATTAAGAAGGTGACTGATTAGGTGTGGCTGTGGCAGTAGTAATGGAGGAGGACTGGACATTGTGGTAACTGTAACTGCTTCTACTGTCAATTTTTATATTTCATCTTTCTTTTATGAAAGACAGAATGATGGTACAAAATAAATATGTAGTATAATTTGTTTCTTTTAGCTATTCTAGTCTCCTCCACTAAGCAACGTTGTTTACACATTTATCTGTACCTGTAATGACAAAAATATGTGCTAACTTGAGCAGTCACTGAGTTTCAGAACAAAGTGCCAATGAAGAGGCAGCCTGTCTTGCATTTTATGTAAAATGCTACAGATAAATGACTTGGTCATATAGCTTTTATATTTAGGCATATGAATTTCACTGTTGTAATTTGCTGTAGCAGCTCATTTAATTTACTACAAAGTACTCCACAAATCACAACCAAAATCTGACAGCTTTGTTTAGAAAGAATAAAAAGAATTGTCATATTTTGTTATATAGTTACAAAAATAATATTAACACTGAAGAACATTGCTATATAGATGATGCATGTTTTCGTAAGTAAAAAAGGATTTTTTTGTGAACTTGTATTCACAATTTGTCTTTTCAAAATCTGTGAGGGTACATTATCAAAACAAGTTCCTTTATATTGTATATTTCATTACAGCCAGGATTTGTCAGGTAACCTAATCCAGTGTCCAAAATACAAAGAAAAAAGAGGGTTAGCAAATTAGCTTCTTGAATGACTATATCCAACTGGAAACACTGAATCAAATTTGCAAACACCAAATTTTATGTGGAATACCTAGGTCCATTGTTTACTGAGGTGTGCACAGTTCATCAGATTAAGATAACAAATTTAGAAGTTATGTCTGTTTTTAAAGGAATACTTATCTTTCATCAATTCTGTTCAATTAAAGTTGTATGATCACAATTTATTGTTATTATGTTAGCTTGGCTTTATATATTTCAAAACTAAAATTATTCAAATTTCTTTACTATGTTGTTGAAATGGAACAAGATAGTAGTGGTGCTGAAAAATTAATAATATCCTTAACTTCAAATAAGGTGATTTAAGGTGATTCTAGCATATGCTTTCTCATTCCTAATTTTGTGATCAAGTATGTATTCAGCTATCACTTAAGAGTTTCTTTTCTGTATGGCAAAGTTACTTAGACCTGGTCCAAAATTCACCTATGAATCTTGGGGTTTTAGCGCTCATTTTTCTGTGCTTTATTTTCCTCCAGCCTTCTGTGGCCTTCCTGAAGCACCTTTAGTATAACAGATATGCTGGTTGGAAAGGACTGCTGGAGATATCTAGTCCAGCCTCCTGCTTAAAGCAGAATAATCACTAAGAGCAGACATGACTGTGTTACCTGCCCTGTGTCAGCCTCCAGGAAACTGAAGTTTTACAGCCTCTCCATGAAGCATGTTCCACAGCTGCACTGCTTTACTGCAAAGTATTGCCTAATATCTAGTGTAAACCTTCAAAGCTGTTGGCTATGACTTGCTGTATCACATCAGCCCCCACTGAGAAAAGTTTGTTGGTGTTGTCTTTGTAATTACTCTTTGGCTATTTGTAGACTGCCATTAGGTTAATTGACCCTGCTATTCAATTTGAAAAACTGAAAGTATTTCTCCTTAATATATGAGTTATAACTCGTGAAATTGCTTTTTAGTCCTGTGTATTCCTTATACAGAGTTAAATCCTTCAAACAGTACCAGGAAATACCGTCAAGATGCATTTTGTTGGCATCTCATTTCTTCACACCTATACTGAGGCTTACAGGATCAATTCTCACCTTGTTACACTCTACTGAAGAATAAAACTTCTTGCTGTGGTATTAAATGCTTTCACAGATGCTGTCTGCTGTTTTGAGACTATAGGCAGCTGCATTAAGATATCTTGAAGCAAAAACAAATTTCCTACTAGCTATTTTTGTTACTTCTGTCAGAAGAGTAGTTGAATTAAACAGTCTGGCACAGAGGTACATAGCCAACAGTCGACATTAAGAAATGCTGGTATGAGAATTACTATATTATCATTAGACACTTGATTTTTTTAGAAGTATTTGAAGTTATTCTAATATTTAAACAATCTCTGAAGCCTCAGATTATCTTCATCTCACTTTAAAAACTTCTGTAGAGATTTTGTTATAAGCCTCAGAATCCAAAAGTCTGTTGTGTGCTTCTTCTTAGGATACAGCTAATCCCAGAATTCTCTCAAATAGTTCCTAATCAATCAATAAACAACATGTGGTCTTTCTTTACTAGATTGCTACCCCAAATGTATCTATCGTGCTTTCTTTTAGGATTTTTGCTCTATGCTTTGCTATATTCAGAAAAATATTTCAGTGATATGAGAGACAACATGATTTCTTTTTTGTTTTAATTCTCTCATAAAATTGACATTTATGTCTTTAAAATAATTATTTTTCTACTTTAAGTTCTACCTTTATCTACATTAGAATCTCAGCTTTATTTTTAATCTTCAGGCCTTCATGAATTCACAAAGAGCACTGTGCTAGTCCTTCTGCTTGAATATTGCTTACCTAAGATCATTTAGATGTCCATAGTAAATTCTTTCTACTAATTTTTTGTTATTAGTAAAATTAATTTCCAAATACATCACCCTCTCTTTTGGAGAAGTTCAGAAACTTTTAGACCTGCCTTTCTTGTTGAACAAGTGTAATTCTCTCTCTTCTTTTATCTGGGGTCTTTTAGGCAGACAGTGACCTAACAGACATGTAGCTGCAGTTCTAAATTACTTACATGGAGGAGTGAAAGAAAGCTAAAAAGTAACTTTAAATAAGTAAATGACAAAACACAAGTTCTATTAATGCCATGGTGACAAAGCACAAGATTCTGGCTTTTAGGTTAGGAATTCCTGAAGGCTGTATTCCAAAGGGTTTCCAGCCTATCTCCTGTTTTAAGTGTTTAGATCCACTCTCACTGCTTCCATTTCATGGCAGTAGCTTTCTCTGGTCATATAAAAAAGTTCTCTTGTCCTGAGAAAGTCGTCACATCTTTTCCTGAGGGTTTTCTCTCAGTGCAATAGAAAGAATACTGACTTGAAAGTGGGAATTACATTGATTCACTTCAGAAAATAAAGCAAATATACAGTGGCATTTTTATACCTTCTTTATATAACTTAGAAAATCACAGCCATGATACATAAAAAAACAAACTTCAGAGAAGGAAAGTTATTATGATGAAAAATTCACAGCCAAGTAAGATGAAAAGTAAGGTGCTTGGGAAGTGATAATTGTTTATAGTTAATGGAGGATGGATGTAACAAATTACATCCTCTCTGCTGGAATTGTATTCAGTGTAAATGAGAATAAAAAGGGAAGAGGCCAAGGGGCATTTATTCCTATGACACATTATTGCATCCTAGTGGTTGCTACAGAATTGTACCAATACTATTGCTAAACAGTAATTAAAAGCAAATACTAAATTATGGAATCCTGTTCTTACATATACTTATAATCCTATCATATAATGAATAAAAATAGTTAATTTTTAGTGTCAGTGGATTGGACACATCTTGGTTTTTGCCACTCACATCCTTTGAGTAAGTGAAGTACTGCAGTAGTGACATCAAACTAGCTTATCTAGTTCCTCACCAGATTCTTGTATTTGAAAGCAACCAGTATGCCAATTCTCATAAGCTAGCGGAGGTCTAAAGCTTCTGGTTGAAATTTTTGTCCAGTTTAATCTAAAGTCTATAGCTACTTGTATGTCAATTATTATCACTTCAAAAAATATTTTATTTATCATTGTTATAAAGGTATTTATAATACAATGCATTTGTTATGCAGAAAGAAAAGAGCAGTAGAAATGAATGACTGAAGAGCAATTTGCTTATTGAATGCATTTTCAAATGCAGTTTGAAAACATGCTATATAAGAGTAAAAATATGCAGAAAACTTCTTTAACAATATAACAAGTTTCAGAGTGAAAGTATATAAAATATAAAATGATACTTTTAACAGTATTAATAGATTATTATCTATTAATATAAATAAATCTTTTAATATAAATAGATTTGCAATTATGGGTATGCATATGTATATTAGTACTATTTTATATTATGTATATTAGTACTATTTATCATTTGGTACTAGTGGTCCAAAGGGATTTTAAGTCTCTTGTGTAATTCAGAAATATCTGGTTTCTTTCAGGACATTACTGAATAGTTGTGGTGAACATCTTCCTCAAGAGTTTTCAGAAGTCTTTTATCATCCATCACATTGGTTATTTTGCATACCATCATCCTGTTTTTTCTTACTGAAGTGAGTATCATAAGTTGATGGTTGTAAAGGCATCAATGGATTGTCAGTATTAGTCAAATACTATGACAACATTTTGAAAAGAGTGTATCTGAATAAATGTTTAACTAATATTCTGATGTTAAAAAGGCATAGAAGCATTTTTTTAATTCATTACAGATTTCTCTAATCTTTGAGAGCCTATAAGAAAGGTCACACTGAAAGCAGTACACTGTGTTTTGCTAGTCTAGTCATTATGTTCGATATCTGAATTGTCTCTAAGCTTTTCTGGCTTTAATTAAAGGGTATATAGCTTTTGACAATAATGGAGTTCACCACAGTTGCTGTTTTGAAGGACTTATAATTAAAGGGGAGATAAAGAATGTATGCCTTTCTGTGTATGATTGGTGGTTAAAAAAATGATTTGATATATACATGACTCCTTGAAAAATAATGCTGCTTGATCATAGTTAATTTTTTTGGAGATTACTGAATGATTAAAGGCAAAAGCTTAATTTCTTTTTCTGTGTCACAGAAATGTAATGACAAATTACATATAAGATATATGCTACCAGCTGTGCTGTCATTCCATTTCTAGTTTTGGAGCTGAAGCACTCCCACACCAGTGTAGATCCTCTCCTAACCCCTTCACCTCCTCTTCCTCCTCTTCAAAGTTATTTCTTGAGAGATTTTCACTCTCCATTTTCATGAAGGGCTGCTTCTGGGAGTTCTTACTATGCGTTTTCTGAGAAGGTATTTTTACATTTTGTAGAAATACATTATCGTATGATTGGTGACCTAATGATGACTTATTTGTGACCAGTGTGCTGTGGATTTATTATCTCTTACCTTGTACACACAGTATCTTGTACTATGTACATAAAAATATTTTCCCTGTAATTTTGCCCCATGCTACACAAAACTTAGTGATTTCTCTCCGTACCCTTCACTCCTAACTACATGTCATCAGTACTGTTATCTCCTTCCCAGGGGCCTCTGATATCTGCTGAACCAGAGGCAATATATGTTTTGACTGCATCGAAGTCATGCGGTTGGCTAAGAGCCAAACAGAGTTGAGTAACTGGTGAATTCAGAATGTGTCCTTTTACCTGCTAGAAACAGTAATTTAAGTTCTTTAAAAGCTTGAAGCATCACATATGTTTACCTCTATCAAGCTTCAAGGAAATTTGTTGGTGGCTTTTTAAGTTATGCATGGTTGGAGAGAAAGGAGAGGAGAAGGTGGATATAGGAAAGAGAATGACTGCATGATCCATTAGAAAGGGATCTACTCCGTTTCTGGGAAAATTTATGCTTCATTAAGTGTTCATTGTAGAAAAGACAGTAAGCTTTTTGATACCCTCATCCAAGGCCAGTACTCAGAATTTAAATTATACTGTGAATTATGAGTTTTGGAAGATGACTTGAAAAGTGAGTACCCTATGCTGTGTAAAAGTATGTAAAGGAAATGCTGCTACCATTTCAGTCTGATATAATTATCTTTTCCGAGGTGGAATTAGGATAAATTTGTCTTGAATAAATAGCAAACTATTCCAGAGCTATGCAGTATGCACTTTTTCCCCTCGATGACAGGAGATAAAATATACATCCTCTTGATCACCAAGTGGAAAAATGAGGAGCTCAAAAGAAAGCACATATCTGAGAAGATACAGCTGGTGTACCTATGTGAGGACAGTCCATATATAGAGAGTCTTCTGTACTGTCCTGGTGATAATGAGTGAACTACATTGGCAAAATATTTAATGTTTTCTTTTAACAACACAGTTTTCAGCTGCTCAGAAAAAAGGAACAGTGAAGGGCTCTGTATGTAATGAAGTAATTTGTGCGACACATTCTAAGATGGTCTAGTTTTTTCATTGGTTTTACACTCTATGTCAAGGAAACTTTTTTCTCTTGAAATAATTGCAATTTTGAGCATTAACAAGACATGTTTAAGTACTGCAGTAAACTGTATTTTAGAGCATGCTAACTATTCATGGATTGTTTTGTGGTTTTACATCTTACATCTAATAAAAATACATATTCACTGTCCGTAACAAAACTGAGAGCACAGGTCATTGTACACCTCTCAACTGTAGCCACCTAATCTTTAACTAAATACTCTAACCTGTCATACATCCAACTATTAAGTATTTACTCTTCCTAGGCTTGATATTTCAAAAGAAAGTTTCACTAGTTCCTGAAATTATTTTGTTTACTATATAACCTGATTTACTACATTACTTCTGATAACAGAAAATGACTACAGTCTGTTTTATCAATTTGACTCCAACATTTTGTCACGGTTGTTACCATGAATTAGCATGTTTATTTGCCTTATAAAATCCTGCACTTACCACTTGAGGTTTTCTTTCTTTCTGTGTTGGATACTAACCAGAATAATGTAGTTGGTTATCAAACTAAATAATTACTGATCATTTATATTACAGTTCCTTTAGAAGTAATTGTGATTCTTTTAGTGGCAATTGTGATTCATCCTTTTTTTCTTTTTTGGGGCTTGTAATCATACCATTTGCAAATCAAAGTTGGGTTTTTTTCTATTAGTGTACAAAACTGAACATTTATATGTGTGATATTTATATGTACTTCACCTTTTGTCACTTTTTATGAGGCTAGTCTTATTTTCACTAGAACTGAGCTACGAAGATAGGAGAACATATGCCTCTCCATATGCACGTTACAGAACTTCTCAGTGCATTTGTTGGTGCTAGCTTCATGGCTGTAGGGAATGTCTGCTATATTTTATTTTTCCTCCAAGTGAATCACACCATTGTACACTTCAATTTGCAAGATGCTTAAAGAGCCAAGAACTGGTGTATATTACAACATGATAATTTCCCATCTGGTCAATGACAGACAAGTTTTTATTCATTTCAAATACTCTAAAAATGTAATTTATTTCTATTGTAATTTGAAATAATATCCTTCATAAATGTAATTAACCAAATTTGTCCCTTATTTTGTAGTTTGAAGGCAATGAGTGATTCTATTAGATATGGTAACATGACATTCAAGGGAGAAAAAAATATTACACTGGCCCATGTATTTTAACTGAATTAGTCAAGTGTTGAGTTTGCTGTCAGCCACAGCACTAACTCTAGTGAGAATACAGTAATTGTTGTAATTTTAACTTTGATTACTAACTGCTAATTAGTTCTTAGCATGCATTAGATTATATAGATATATAACTAATGTTGAACATACAGAAATTAAGATAATTTTATGAAGAATGCAAAGCCCTAAGGTTGACAGTTTGAATGCAATATATGTTTAAATATGGAAAAGTTATATTGACTGCAAGTTCTATCAATATTTAAATGTATATGTGTATATATTTTTGGTAAATATTACTAGAATGCAGTATGTGCTACTATGTAAATAGTAGAGCCAGTGCTACATTGTCAGTAATTATATATAAAATACCAATTGAAAATCAAAAAAGCTGTACATCAGTTTTCCTGGCCTATACTTTGCTTATCAGCTCAGAGGTATTTGCTGTACTGTTAAAATTGCAAAGGCTGGCATGTATAAAATCTTGATTTACTAAAATTACTGTTACAGTGAAGTTTTGACATAACAGTGTGATGTAAGGGTCCTGGTGGGAAATGGTGTTATGGAAGCTTGGTTTCCTTAGGTTACTGCAAGATTGCCTGCAAGATATGTGTATTTCTGCTTTTTTGGTAACAGAAACATGGAGACATGTGAGGGGGAACTAAATTAGAGGAGTGTATCAGCTGACATTTTCATTTCCAGGTGTTGTAGGTTTGTATTGAGTATATTATATATACAGTAACCTTGACTGAACAGCAGAGTATTTGTGCAGTCATCTCTGTTTTTTTTCATGTGTGCATTCAAGCAGAGTTGGGTGGTGACACACTTGGCTGAGTTAGGTGGCTGTAGAAGTGTGCAACATAATGGAGACATTCCCCTCTATTAGAACAACCACATGAACGCATTTTAATTCTGTCCCAGTGTGTAAATGGCACATAAAGTGTTTTGAGCAGAAGCATATAAATCCTTTTCTAGTCTGACAGGAAAGTGTCATACTGAAAACCTCCTGATGAAGGTTTCAGCTGATGCTGAAGGTGTTATGTGTGTACAGGCAGATAATATTTATGCCTGCACAGTTAATACGCTAGTCCATATGTAGTTTTTACACTGGTGCATGTAAAATTTATGTGCATAGAAATTTACATAGGAGGTGCATAAAGTTTCAATGTTAGCAACTATTGTATAAACTTGTAGCAAAAATAAATAAATACAGTGGCTAAATATCAGTTGAAATTTAATTTAAATACCTTCAGATTAATAAAAAAATAAACTTGCAAGAAAAAGTCTACAATCCAGTTTTGAAAACTTCTTTTAAAAAATATTTCAAGAAGAAGAAAATACTAAATACAGTAGGTAATAAATATCTTGCAGGACAGATTTTTTTTTTTTAACTGTAATGTGAATTCAGTGATTGGCGTTGTGTTGCTGGCTGAGTTCAGAGGAAGCCGTGCAATATTTTTATTTGGAAACCTTAAACATGGAAACCACAAACAGGAAATAATCTGCAATCTCTTCAAAAGCTAATAAGTTTGTACTACACTTTCTCGTTTCTCCCTGCTGGCAAAGCACTAACTTAACCAGTCTAATATTTCATGTGGATTTTTCAGGACATATAAGAATTGGTCAACCGAATCTGGAATTTTGCAACCCTTTTGAGCATTTTCTCTGTTTTTTAGTTAAGAGCTTCATATACTTCATTAAGACAGTTTCTTATTGAACAATTGATGTAATACTGAACTAAAAGTAATAGCCTTAAATATATTCAAGCACAGAAAAAAAAAATCTCCTTTTTACTTAGTAGAACAAGACAAACATGGTTCCATGAGAGAGATAAGTGGCTTTGTATCAGTTATAACTTTGGCAGACTACCAAATGTTAATTTGCTTTTAGCTAGTTGAGATTAAATGTAATTCCTTCCCTGAGCTGCCTTAAAGTAAGCAAGCATGAAAGCATTTCCAGAGTAATCTGGGAGGAATTGACATTTAAGGGATTGCATTACCTCTGCAATTTAAGGTTATTAATTTCATAGATAAATTAACTACATTATTCTTTATCTTGCATTTTGAAAGGATTCCATCAGCCAGAGAAATGGCAGCCCAGGGTCAGCTGAAACTGCTCTTATCCCAGCCGTATTGTAATTTGAACTTGCTTTTGGACACATTGCTACATCATGATTGTCTCTTAGTGAAAATTTTGCTGAGAAGCTCAGGTAGGTATTTATACTGTCAATCCATATAAGAATATCAGTGAAAAACACATATTCATTTTTAACTACTTAAGTGCTGAAGGAAGGCTGTCAACCATGCTGGAAGGGTTTAGGTAGCCTTTCCATTATGAGTAGTACACTTCTTAAATGGGTTAAAAGATAGAAAAAGTCATTGCTTTTTTAATGAGAATGTTTTGTGCTCAATCTGTGTATTAATAGTTTCAAAGCAGACTACAGTTTGATAAAATAGGCTGCTATCATAAATGCAAAGGAGTCAAAATGAATTTGAGCTTAACAGAGCTATGTGATACCTCAACTACTTTACAGAGATTTTTAAAAGTGTGGATTATACTTTCAAAATTATATTTCAATAGTGAAAAGCTTCTTAGATATTGTTAAACTTATTATATGTTTGTCACTGTAGGCATTTTAGAATTGCACTTATATGCTTCCTCTTGTTAATCCGTTAATGCCATTTTGAAAGTAGAACAAATAAAAGAATGGTTCTATAGGTTTTTTATGTATTGGTGTTGTGTTTGAAGCAACAAACTTTATCACATCTTTCCTTTAATATATTTCAGATATTGTTGAAAAGCTAATGGTATAATCACCTGTTTGATGTAATCTTGCAGGAATAGTGAATGAGGGTCTTGGTTTCTATATTTCTTGGCAAAAGAATTCTTCCTACTTATAAAAAACCCCATTATGTCCACATAATATTAGATATAACATAATTTAGTTCTGTTATTTTAAACTCATCTAATATTTGTCAGAGGTACAATATAGCTTTCACTGCTGTCATGCATCTTATTGAGAGCTGCAGTGCATACATTTGCCTACTCAAACACCTGTCTACTTTTACAAAGACTGGCAAATATTTAATCAGGGTCATATTCTTACCCTAATGTTAACCAGTATTGAATTTTACTATCTGTTTAAATTATTAGAGGTAATAAGTGACGTAATGTATTAATCTATTGACTGAGCAACCTCTTAAGCTTTAGGGAAATCTGTTCCTTTGAATTACAAAATGTGCTATTTACACAGGCTTTATTAATGTAACTACAATATTGGTATGAATAAACTTTCAGTTTAGATAAAGTTGATATCTGTGATGATCCACATCTACATTAATTTCAACAGGGTTAATTGTCTAATGACAAAATGTTTGTATTCTTTATTCCTTCTCCTATACAGCTAAGTATATGATAGTTTTTGAGTGATTTGCCCTAGTGATAACAAAACTCCTTGGTATTTAACTACATAAGGATTTTTTTAATAGGAAAAGCCTTCTCACATTTTTAACACTCAGAAAACAGTCCAGAAGGCAAAAATTCTCTATAAAGAGGTGCATATACGTGGATGGTTTAAGGTATTGATTTTTTTTTTTCTGTATTGTAGTAATACTTTGGGATAGTTAAAGTAGAAATCTTCCGAACACATTTAATTTAATTGCAGTCCCATTGTTCTCATGGTTGTACTACGGTGAGGTTCAAAAATAATGTATGTTCCCCATCATAGTAGGGAGTATTGTTGGGATTGACAACGTTTTTTCAGTAGAAAGAGTATTTTGGGAGAATGCATTTGTCTTGGTTTATAGACAACGTGTGCTAGGAGGCGGGACCTCCAACGGAATAGAAACCCCTCCCTCCAAACTACGAGAATTTAAAATTATGAGATGTTCGAGTAAAGTGTAGAAACAAATAAGAGTTTTTACTAAAAATAGAGAACAAAACACAGTAACCACAGGGGTACAGGGAGAAAATGGTCTGTCTCTCCACCTCCTTCCCTGGAAAGACTGGAGACCGCCTGGCCGCGTGGCTCTCCCGCAGGCAAGCAAAGGGACTACAACGAGTATGGCAAAGAGCTTTTCCCCCCGCCGATTCCACGCCGCTAAAAAAACCCCAAAACCTGGGTAGTTACTTTGTTCCTGCTGGTTGTGTGAATTTGGCTCCGATGGTGAGCTGTGTCTGATACAGGGCTCCCCTCCAAGCGCTTGCAGCTTGCGGCGCGGGGGTGGTGAGGTGTGAGCTTCCAACCTGGTGCAGCTGCTGCAGTGGCTGTTTTCACCCCTGGCGGCTGATGGTGAGCAGAGACGGTGTGGGTCCAGCCAGTGCTACGTGGGACTGACGCGGTGGAGGTCAAAAGGCGGCGGTGGTGCCGGTCAGAGTGGCAGGGAGCTGGCCTGGGTCAAAAAGTAGCTGCAGCAGTTGGTCAGGCGGCGGGCAGAAGCAGTGGCCACACTGGTGGTCCGAGGGCAGAAGATGTACTGGCAGGGGAAGCGCTGGTATGAGGAGCATTGCTGGTGCTGGGGTGCCTTGGCTCATGTACCAGCAATGAAGCCGTGGGGACAACAACCCCAGGTGTTGTGGGTCAGGAGGCCAGCAGCGAAAGCACAGAGGGGGTCCGGGGGCTGTGGGTTGGGTGACCAGCAGGTAGCAAAAGCTGAAATGTATATAAAAAGTAAAATATGAAAATAAGAAGTTATTGCATCAAAAATACTAAAGGCAATAAATCAGGTTATGCCAAACCAAACTGCTTACTTGTCTCCACTGAGTATGTCCACTGGGTAAAGGCAACTTTGAAAAAAATAGTTGAAAAATTAGATTTGCATATTTGACCTCTATAACTTAGGCTACAAGTCTAAATAACCCAGATGGGTTGAAGTACAGTTAATTACAGTCATATAATCCTAGAGTTGTTTTCTATAGGTCAAACATTCAGAAAATTTCTTTCTAAGACATGTTGAGTGAGTGAAGGGTTTAAGGTCTTTGCTGTGGCTTTGTGGAGAGAAATAGAGTTGTTATTTCCAGGAACCAGGAGGTATTCTTGGCATGATGAAACAAAAGGCAGTAGCTTGGTTGAATTACATTGGCCCAACACAAGATTATTACCAGAGGGGACCTTATCAGTCAACAGACACCTCACCACATAGGAACAGAAGATAAAGAAGTCACTGAGAAATCAGTAAGGCCTTCAGTCAGTCCTTGGGCCTCAAACATACTTTTGTTTAAGAAGAGATGGTAGTCTCAAGGATCTGATGAACAATACTAAATGCAATGTATTCCTTTTTAGTTTTAGAAATAATCTTATTCATTACCCCGAATACATGAGACTCCAGTTGTTACAAAGATTTAATTTCACTTTCTACACACAACTTTAAAGTGAATACTGCCATGTGCAGATAAACTGGAAGAAAACTGCTTTCACAACAGGACCAGACCACTGGCAGTTGCATCTAATGTTTTTTGGCTTGCACAATACATACTCGTGAGACTAATAGAAGAGGGTATTGTGTAGTCTGTATATTAATGACATTCTGGTCACCACTAAAACTTTGAAATGAGAACTGATAGTAATGTTTGCAAGTATTCTGTGGTAAGTTTAAAGTTGCAAGTCTGAAGTTGAACCCAAAGAAATGCGAATTACTTCAAAAAGAGATCATTTACCTTGCACACATAAGCAGGTTGGGGAAGAGAGGATTTCCACCGAGAAAATAAAGCTGTGTGGTGCACTATCAGCCAATTCACTAGACACTAATAGATATAAAGAGTTTTCTGAGACTGTGCTTTTATTAACCAATTTCTGGAAAGAGATTTTTTTCCCCCTTCTAATTCTTTGCCCTCTGTGAAACAGTTCTCTAACTGCCACGATGTGCCATCTTAAGGTAAATTGTAAGTACTAACTAAATTTTAATCAAATTTAATTACACTTATGGGTAAATAGCATTGATTTTTTGTAAGTTACCCTAAAAGAGCAGTGAAAGGTGGTAACTTTACCAATTGGCCTCACTTAGAAATTAGACTGAACTGTTAGTGACAGTACTGAGTTATTACAAAAGAAAATGCACATGCCTTGCATAAATCACCAACTCCATTAAAATTCTGGCTTTGGCTAAATATGTAACAATTTGACACTTTTATTTCAAGTATGTGGAGGTCATTATTTTTGTGCTTTCTTCTAATGACTTATTGAATTTAATAATCTGTTTATCAGACAAGTGAAAAAACTAGCAACTGTGCTAGTCCTGTGGTTCAACCACACACTATTGTATTTCCCCAAAATACAATCTTGCAGATTTTTTCACAAAACTTCAATGTTAATCTGCAACCCTGTCCTCATTAGGAGAGCAGGAGTAAATCTCGTACAGGAATTTATATGCTTGTGGAGAGATAGATCATTCCTTCACCTATTTGTGGATCACTCAGTGAGAAACTTGTGAGTACACCTGAAAGTCTTCTTAGCCTCTTCATGATAGGAATCTGTGTCATGGTAGCCTAACAAATGATTAAAAGGTTACTTTAAACATGGCATCTCCTCAAAATGTCCATCTGACCAGTAAGCTTACTGGATTCTGTACCTCCACAACCAATCAAGGGTTTACTGATGTACTTCTAGCTGGAAGATAGGTAAGAAAGGGACCTTAATCAGATATCCTGCTCTGTTTGATGACTTTCCAGTGATAAGCTAAAGAAAACAGTAAAGAGATTTTATGGAGTTTCTGAAAATTTGAATAGGAATTACTGTTTGGACTATAGTAGAGCCCTGCTGCAAATCACATACCTTCTCTTGACAAAGTAGTAGCAGATAAGTACTGGATGAGTGATAATGTTAGCAAGTTACTGGGAGGTATTTCTATCAGTAAGAAAGAAATATGGAGAAATAGCACTTGTAACTCTGCCTTTCTGAAAATAGGTTTTTAAAATACATGGTAGTATCCCAAGAGGTTTAGTGCATTATTTTGTCATAGGAAGAATGATTCACTGTGAATGGTATAGCTATTATTCAGTAGATACATATATTTCTTACAAAGTATTTGAATATATTTTGATACTGTCTGTGCCTGTGGAACATTATGCTATATGGAAATAACAAAGAACAGATTTAGCAGATTTAGATTCCCTTCACAGACTAGCTTTTGCTATACAAATGCAGTCAGTGAAAAAAGATAAATGTATAGAGAAAAACATCAGTGGGCAGTAAGTATGATGCCTATCATATAAATTCTGTTCTTATGTGATAATTAACAAGGAGGCTGCTTTGGAGTTCAAACGAAGAGGAATATTTAATGTTATGACAGGTGAGCTAATAAACATAAAAGAAAAAAAATCTAAGGCAAGAGAATATATCTTTCTCTAGACTCCTTATTCATAATATTTAACCAGCTATACTGATCAGCTAGCTGAAGTTGTCAACTGACATTATCCTTTAAGATCTTTTCTAACCCAAGGGATTCTATGATTCTGTGATTCTATGGTCCATGCCTGCTTATCAGTCAGAAAACTCATTTTAACCTTAGCTTTCAAAAGTCAGCTATTCTTACAACAAGGGCAGCCTTTACTTCAGTGTAAAACAGGAAAAAGCTGATGAATGCTCGCATTGTGTTTAGCCACAGAATAGTTTACCAATGGATTAATGAAGATCTTTGCTTAAAAGCATAAGGCTTGTATTACACACTAGTTATTCAAGATGTATGTATAACACCCTCTACAGAATTCTTTTATACTCCTTTTCCTTTATCTAAATCTATTGGTAGCACTGAGTTGATTAGAAAAGTTAGTAATAAGTTGTGACTCAAACTTTCCTTATGGCATGGTCATAGAACAAATTTAGGCTTAATTTCAAGTCATAAACTCCTTTAAACACATCAATTTCCCATGTTCTGCGAAGAGAGTTTACATAATATTTAAAATCTCAGCTAGCCCTCCTCCCTAGAATTCAGTTAAATTAATTTAAAAAATAAATACTTATGGTAGCATAATTGAAGTTCAATTCAAATTTCATCTCACAGTTTGAATACCTTTGGGTTTTCTTTTTTGAACAACTTTTTCTGCTTTGTTGGTTATTTCTTTGTCATATTCATATTAGAAGACATATCCCTGGTGTCTTGGTTTAATGACAATCTATTCAGGAGGTTAGACCTCTAATGAGATGAGCCCTCCTTTTTTTTTATTTTTTTTTTTTTTATTTCCCTCCTCCCAGTATAGAGAAGGTAAAACTTATGAGGAGTCTGAACGAAGAAGGGAAAATAACAATTTTACCAAAAAGGGAAAGAAACAAAACCCCACAAGATTAGAAAATATTATCTAGCTATCTGCCTTCCCCCTAGGTTAAAACAAAACCTGGAAGGCTATTTTGCCCAAAGAAGGCCCTATGCTGCTGAGGCGGCGGGGTGGGTTGTGGCATAGCAAAGCATTTTGGGTGTCAGTGGTGGGGCCAGGGCTGGTCCGGCGTGGTGCTGCGGCCCGGGGGGCTCTCAGCAGGCGAGAGAGCGAAAAGGCTGCAGCTGAGACAGTGGCGACTGCCAGGAGGGGAATCCCTGCGCTGGCAGTGATGGCAGCTCTCTGCCTGCTGCGAGATAGCTGCTGAGGCGGCAGCGACTCCGTACGGGGCTGGGCACGCTGGGACGGCTCGGCTGGGGCCACGGTGTCCCCGGTCTGATGCAAAACCAGCTCTGAGCTGAGGCTAAAAGCAGCCACAGCTGAGGCATGATGGCCCCCTGCAAAGACTCTGAGAGTCTGCGGTGCTCCAGTGGGCAAAAACCAGGTACAAACAGAAGATAATTTTGGCCCCTGCCCCCCTTTTATCTCCTGTCTTCTAAGTTCCCAGGATGCTCCACTGCAGGGATTTTCCGGTGGGTTCCAAGACACTAGGGACAGCTCGGATGAGGAGCTGTCCCCCATGCTCCAAATTACCTGGTGGTATGAAGTATTCATCGCTGAAAATTCTTCCCATTTAACTAAAACTACAACACCTGGTTGTGAGTGAATTGTGAGGAATCCATTTAATTCTTCATTGAGAAGCATCAGGCATTGGAAGCAATATATGCCAGCTCACTCAACTCATAGGAAAAAAAAAACCTGATTAAAAAAATCTTATTGCTGACCTATCTACTGCCTTGGGAAAAAAACCCCACACCTTGTTGGTTATGAAATCACTGATCATGTTTTTTAGATTTTTACATACTCTGGGCTGTTTCCATTAAGGTTGCACACTATCCAAATTGGCTGCTTTACAATAATGTGTGAATTAGGTTGTTGGAATTCAGAGGAGAGTAAAATGAGATTTTTAAATTTTACAGCATTCTCAAGCCATTCATTCAAAGATAGGTGGAAAGCAACAGTGCCCCACTGTGATAGATTTTGAAGGCTGTTTGAATTGCTAGAAAAAACACAGTCTAGAAATTTAGTCTCTCCTATCTTTCTCCTGCACAGGTTGCTACAAGTAAGGACAGCCAGACTGGCAGAAAGCAAAGACATTGTGAAGCATTTTATTTAAATAATTTTTACAGAAACCTCCAGTTTTGCAAACTAGAAATTTAAATTAAAAGTATTTAATGGATTCTGGCTCTGTCATTTGTTACGATTGTTAACATCACAATGATATTCTACAAGTATGTGGGAAGCTGAGGTCTTTGACATTAGCACAAGTCAAAGCCATTGAGTCACATCGACTTCAAGAGCTTTAAACACATCACTATCTTTCAGCTGGGAGATTACTTTGTAGTGATTCTCAGAAACATCTGGAAATACATGTTTTATAAGCCATTACAGTCAACTCTATGAAAATCACTAGTTGTCTTTAAAATGTCTACCTTAGCAGGGCTGCGATTTTGTTTTGCAGAACTGTTTTATTCTGAGAAACAAAGGCAACACATTTGGGGAACTATGCAGCTGCTACTTTTTAAAATGTTATATAACTAGAGTTCTGTTGTTTCCTATGACCATAATACCAGTAAGAGGAATTAAGCAGTAATAGCTTTTGGACTGTAATTCTACAGAAGTAGTACAGTTTAATTCTGATTAATATTTAGTAAATAATTTCTAATTATATACTGAGTTAATTTTGAATTAAATAGGCATATTCCATAATTTGAAAACATACCTGAGTCTTTTTTTAATGGCTACACATAATTCAGGAAGACAGTCAACTGTCATTATGCAGAGGAAGACCAGATTTTAGTATCTGTAATGTTATTGCTGTTTAAAACATTATTCAGATTTAGTTTGCAGTTTGTTTTAATTAATGCTATCTATTACTGAGAACTTGAATTACTTGGAAATTATTTGAACTATGTTTTTGTTTATTTTGAAGGACATGAAGCATTGAATCGTGATGAACAAAGTTCTCTCTTAGAACAGATAAATAACAAAGAGCCTACTCTGATTGAAACAATCTTCACAGTATTGTCTTACTGCACTTTATCGCCCAAATCTCTTGGCATTGCTTTTGAGACCTACATGGAAAAAGAGCAGTTGTGGAATTGCTTATACAGCATGACAGGTACTTAATTTATTAATAAGCACTTAAAATCTGACATTAAACCCTGTTGGTTTTCAGACATGTAGTGAATATTTTTTTTTACCTTGATAAATCAGATAAAATGATGGTAGTTTATTTCAAAATTATAGTATAATTGAAGTGTTCTGTGCAATTGGGCCATGGTAGGAGTGATGAAAATTTTGAAGAACACAGAGGTTTAGGAGCAGTGTAGTCAGTGAGGAGTCTGATTACCTTAAGTGTCTGTCTTACCAGCAGGCTGTCTGCAGAACATTTCTGTAGGTCTCTACCAGTAAAGATTCTTTGTCTCTATGCATTAAGGATTCCAGACCTTTGGCATGATTTAAAAATAAGACAGCATTGAAGGAGAGCAGAAAAAGAGAAGGAAGCACTCCTTCTCCTACTGAGAGAGAAATACCCTGATGGGGATATAGACTCTGCTGTCAACAGGCAGAGAGCCTCTTGATTTTCAGTGAAGAGAGAGAGCTGCCCTAACAATTAAAGCAACTAAAACTGTCCCCAAGGAAAAGTAGTATTCAACCAGAAAAGAGGGGTGAGATTTAGAAGGGTGATATTGCAAATTATGCATTAAAAATAGGAAGGTTCACAGGAAAAGAAAGGAAGAAAATGGGAAAATGTAAAAGGAGAAATAGGATTATGAGTATCACAAAATAGAAAACAATGGTCATAAAAGTGCTCAGGTATTCCTCAGAGCAAAACAGGACTGCAAAAAATAGAAGTTTAAGGTGTAAGCTGAATTAAAACAGAAATGTTGCATGGGAGCTTCCAGAAAGACCATGATTAGATCAGCAAAAACCACAGAGAAACAAAAGTATGAGTGAAGGATCTAACATGTCAAAACACATCTCTGATATGCTCTGCAACACTCTTCCTGACAACTGCAGCTCCATAGCAAGGGAGAAACTACAGTTTGCTGTGGTATTAAGAATGTGGAGAAGATTGATACTTGTAATGTCAATAGCTGTACTTATGATGGTCTGTTTTCAACATGCAATCACTGATGACATGCTGTGTTTCTGTTGATGACTATTATTTGTATGTATTTTTGTTTCCAAGATACCTTTTCTTTCTTTGCAGTTCTCTAGTGCAACAGTTTGGGTATCTAATAAATGCAATTTCATTAACCCTTCAAAACAAGGAAATAGGAAAAAAGGTATATCTGTTTGTCTCATTGATGCCTAACAAGTAATTAAATGTTTTCCATATTAAAATGGAAGACATTAATCAGTTTAAGAGAAATGAGGATGAAGAAAATAAATGGAAATATTTTTTGTTAGTACTGTGTTAAGATGGTACAAGATGGCTATATTATTTTGCTTTATACTCTTTCTTTAATTTGTAACACACCAAAAGGTCTAATTTATTATGAATCATAATGTTGTTACTTTTCTTTCCATAAGAATTCTGAAACGCTTTTTTCTGAAACAGATTTACACAAATGACTACACTTACTGAATATTTAATAATTATTCCTTCTAAAGTTTCCAGTTGTGGTGAGTCAGAGCCAGAAGTTATCAGATGCTTGAAGTTGACTTTGATTAATTCAGTCAAGGGTGTAGTGAAACAGATTATTTCTTTGATGCATTCATGGGAGGCAACAGAAAACTATGGAACTTACCAGCACAAGCAAATAGTACCTGAAAGTTTACTGAAAACAGTTCCAAAGGAATGGAATTATACTCCTCGGGAAATGAAGAGAAAAGAATCTGGGAAATGTAGGTGACATTTATACTGTTTTATAAGTTTGTCATAAGAACTTGTTACACCTTTAATGCCTAAACTGGACAGTTAGATTTTGTGAGTGTTGTAGTTTGACAGTGAACAAAACAATTTCCAAACATCCTGTGGTGGTTGGGAGTTTTTTTAGTACTTCTTGTTAAAATTCAGTTATTCCTTCTTGAGGCTTACACCATGCATACACAAACAAGGTTTTGAAAATAATCAGTATTGTAGTACTGATAATAATAATACTGAAGATGTTTTTAGCATCTGGCAGTAATAGGGTGGGATTCAAGGCAAAGTAAAAATAGTGTCTATGCTTTGGTCTCAATGGCTATAACCAGTTTTCCTTTTCATTATCATCTCCTCAGTCATGATTGTTATTCATCCCAACTTTACAACATAGCAATTTATGTTTGAATAAAAAAACCCACTGAAACTGTTATAAAATATGCTACTGTCCGGTTGTTGAAACAGTTAGTGAAGAAAGAAATAATATTCACAAGAGGAGATATTTGGAAGGTGATTAGATATAAAGTTGATTTCTGGTATATATTTTTATAGTCTAGAGTGCCTAAAGCATCTGTCATTTCAGAAGGTTAACTTTTGGAAACATTTAGTCATAAATTATTGCCACCAAAATATTACCTGATTATTTTCAATACTGTAGTATCACTGTAGTATAGCTTGGCATGAATTTTTGAATATGTAGATTGTGGCCAAGCCAGGGCATCAATGCATTCTTTCTTTCCATACATGTTCATTTCACTGCACTCTCACCTTAGTTTAGAACTTGTATGGCTATTTTAGGTTATTGCTAAGCATAAATGGATATACAAACTGAGACATAAGGGTTAGGCTTAAAAACAAATCAGTTTTTCTGTGTGATATATAGAACAGATATGGCTTTTTTTTAAATTAAAAAAGTATTTAGAATGCGGGTGCAATGAGTTGGAGTTTTCTTGGATTGTTTGGGTTTTGTTTTGGTGTTTTTTAAAATCTTGGCTTAACTCCGTGTTGTGGATCACCTTTTACTATATTTTTTCATTTTAGATATGTCTTGGGTTTTGAGCAGCATATTTTCTGTAGTTACTTCTGTAGCTACTTTTAATATCTGGAATCTTTAAAATGTAGTGCTATCTAGTGTAGATGCTTATATGAAAGCTGATAAACTGAAATTGTTCAGGTCTGAACATAGGAAGAATTGATAGAAAACAAAAGATTATAAATGTAAGTAATATCCTGATACACTAAATGCAACGTTCCAGTCATGAAGTTGCAAAAGTATTATGATTCTGAAGACAACTTTTTACCATTCAGAATACCTGGGTGGTGTTTTTATCATTTATCCTGCAATGACCGTGTACAGCAAGACTAATTGTTAAGAGGGTCACAGTCTGAATTCTAAATTTTCTAGGTTCTCTGCTTTTAATTTGTGTAATTGTTTAGGTTTTGTGGGATTTACGTGCAGAAACTATAATAGAAGTCAAGCTCCACTGTTGAGTTCTTAAGCTTTTTACCCATTTTCAGTACAAAAGGAAGTTAGAAATTATCATACAACATTCAGAAGCATGCTGTGATAGAACTATAATGCTAATGTTAATCATATCTTTTCTATTTTTAAGGCTTCACAAGGCTTGCAGCTCAGGCAGTATCTATTGTAATCAGCAAGTTACCTACAGTGATTGCATGTTTGCCTCCCCCAATTAAGTACTTCTTTTTTCTGGCTGAGAGAAAAATGTCAAGAAACTTTGCTGAATTGAAGAAAGCTGGTCTGCTTGTCTGGAACTTGATTCTAATTATATGTCGGATATTTGAGGATGGAAATACTGCAGAACTTTTAACAGGTGCAACACTTGACAGATGGAGCAAAGAAAAACTCAGTTTAGTTCGTGTGTGCTTAGAAAGTATTATGGGAAAACAGAAAAGTGGTCCTAAGCAAGTGACCCAGAAGATTATACAAAACATTGAACAGCAGAGACCAAACTGGATTGAAAGCCAGTTGCTGAAGGCAAGAAAATTGAGCACAGACTGGTAAGAACATAGTACTTTTCAAATGCTGGTTGCTCTTTATTTTACTGGATTATTGGCACATTTATGGCTATTGTTTAATTTGAAAAAATAAGAGATGAGCAGTGATCTTATATTGATGGCTTTATACCATGTGTTTGTAATTAATTGTATTGTTGAAACAGTAAACCATGGTTGTTTCGTCAAAACAGTGTCTTCTAGTACTACAAAATTTCATATTTTCGTGATGATCCAAAAATCTGGACAATTCTTGTATAGAAAGATACAATTCTTGTATCTTTCAAAATGTGAACAAGTGCTAAATATATTTGTAATTCAATTTTGCTATGGTGAATAAATTAAGAGGGACTATGAAAAGCTGTCAGTGTTCATTTGTGAAAAAAAAAGTGAGCATACTTCATTCTAAAATCTTATCAAGCCCTCAGGGCAAGTAGATTATATCAAAACAGAGAATACCCTGCTGTGGCTTTCTGAGAAAATACCAGTCTTTCCTTCTGGTTTAACATTAAGGTCTGAGTGTTTTTAATCCTTACAGGGATTTTTCAAGGAGTTGTGTACATGTCAATGTGTTCCTAGTCCAGTCTAATTTAATATTGTAGTCATGTATCATTCTGTAAAAATACTGTTCATCAATTTTCCAATATGAGATTTATTTGAGTTACATGACTTACTGAATTAAGTTGTAGCTACTGAAAGTAAGATTGCTGCTTTTCTCAATGAATATTCTTGAAGGTTGTGGTCATTGCTATCCTGACAGTAACGTTTGGATTTGTGCTTATAAACAAAAGATATAGTGATTGCAGGCTTTCATTCAGTGCTTTAAAGGGCAGTATCCTATTTCTATGAGTAGTCAGTTAATGTGAGTAGCACTAACCAGTAACAGTGTCACACAAATGCTCATTGACATTGACCTTTGTAATATTTACTTTTCTATTTAATTCTAATTTACATGCTCTAATCCAGCGATTAAGATTGAAACCAGATGCCAGTGACTGAAAGAAGTGTACAATAAAAAACCCATAATGATAATATGTAAATTGATAGTTAACAGAAAGGTTCCATAACACAATTTTTAATGTCACTGAGAGAATAGGTAGTTCTTAAAAAATACAAATGGAGGATAAGACAATTTTGTGGATAACCTTTAAAAACTAAAATTTTAGCACTTCTTCTGAAGCTGAGAATTTTAAGTTAATATACTACTCTGTTTTCTTGCAAACTGCAGAAATGTTGTATTATATATTAGGTATCAGTCTGTGGAAAAGGAATGGGGGAAAATGTTTCCTATATGTGTACAGTGTCAACAAAAGAGAGAACTAGCTTGTGACTAGGGCTGCTAATTTTAAGCTTAAGATAATGAAGAATGCATTACCTGTTCTTTAAATGAGTAGTTGAAATTGAGTCTTCTGACTTCAGTTGCATTTCTGCAATAGAATTCTAATGTAAACATTATTTTTCCATTTTTTATTCAAATATTATTAGTCAATATCTGGGGGAAAAAAAGGATCCAGTGTATAAAAAGATGAGATATGCAATGTAGAGATAAATATTGTTATGAATGCTTATTATAAAGCTAATATATTAAAGCTGAAATTCAAATAGTCAATTAAAGTAAGTAACGGTCACATAATCATTAAACTAAAAACAATCAAGGGGAGACTTATGATGTTCATGTGATTTCTTTGGAACAGAATGACCATATTGGAAAATCTAAGTTGGTGTTATATAACCCTTTCCTAATTAAAGGATTTTTTGGTGTAGATGTATGCACATGCATATGTACATTTGTAGTTTTAAATGTTTGTGGACTTCTAATAGATACAGTGTGTGAAAGAAAACAAAAACTATAAATTTCAAAAATTTATTTGAGATTCACCTACATAGGTGTGGAAACAAAGTGTGCCGAGTTTTTATAAGCAAAATTCTTACTTGATTTTGTGTTACGTTATTGTTATCAGGACTGCTACTTACATAAAAAGTCTAAGTTATGTATGGGTTCTTCCATTGTGGTGTAAAAATTTAACTTAATTTTTAAGAAAATTTTTAAAATAATAGTCCTAATTGAAAGGTTCAGAAAGTGGTAGTTGCACACATGTCCTGTTTTATGTATTGCCTGAAAGCATTACTATTTATTAAAATAGCCTTCATTTTATGGTAGCACCAGAGCTGTAAACAGTCATATTAGATTCTGAAGAACACATGTCCTGAGAAGAAAAGAAATGTCTATCTTTGCAAAGTAATTTGTTGAATTGAAGATTATTGTTTTTCATCATGATGACCCTGACCTTGCTGTCTGGGTGAATATACAGATTAAGATGAATGCAGTTATTCCTTGGCTGAGGTCTGCCTCTTTCAGGGCACATTCTTCCTAATGACATGATTGATAGGCAGTCCCAAATCCAGAGAGGAAGTCATTAATCATAGTGCTGGCTGAATCCAATCATCTGCTTCACCTGCACAGTGATGGGCAGTAAAGGATACCATTTGGGTGCTAGCACTGATACACTCCTTTGTCAGAGGTCCTCAGCTAAGAATTTGGACAAGAAATTCAAGTTGTATCTGTACATAGCATCAAATATCAGCCTTAAGTGTGCTTTAATTTTAAAGATCAATTTCTTTTAAGCTTTTCTATAAAATACACCATAATAACAGATTATCACTTACTTCCATTCAGCAGAGAACAAAATTATAGTTTATATTTTGAAACTCTTTGCTCTGTAGGACATTCTGAAACTACATGTGGAAACAATACCAACTTTAATGTCCAGCAGCTGTGCAGCATTTCAGAGACCCTGCAGGTCAAACAGCAACTCTCAGCAGAACTGACTTTGTAATTATGGCACACTTCCAACGATATACTGCAACCACAGTGTTTCGGGGTGTGGGCGTTTTTTTGGGTTTTTTTTACTTCTAAACCAATAAAATATTGATTTTTTTTTTAAATTCCAAATGTTTTTTTTTTATATTTTCAATTATACTAATAACAACTGTAGAAAGAGTAATATATTCTTGTTGGTGTTTCGAGTTCATGACACATATGTGTCAAGGTGCAAACAAATACCTGTGTTACAGCTCTAGTATTTGAGGAAAAAATCGTTTTCATACTTCTTCTTTTGTAGACTTGGTCAATAACAATACTGTGCTGGTATTTTATGCTTGTATGCAGAGAGAGCAGTCTGGGAATGATCAGAAATTTGAATGCACAATTTTGAAGGCACTTAGGAATGTCATCTTCAGATTTTATTTGGTGTCAGTTTCACACAAATACAAGAAAAATAAGGAACAGTACAGGGCAAAAAGTTCAACAAGTGGCAAATAGGTACCTTTTAAATGGTTAACAACATACCAGTGGGAAGAAAAAGACTTCACTTTAAAACTTCTAAGCTATACTTAGAGTAATGGCTACCTTTCTGACACGTTAATTAGGCTTTAATATGTGCAGCGACAGGCAAAGAAAAATGCACAAAAGATCGAATGCAAATGCCATTTCTAGTAGCAAAGATACTTCTCTAGTGGAAAAGAAAACTAAAAAATATTTGCTGCTTGTATATCTTTAGAGTAAAGAATGTTTCATGTGTTCATTTTTTCCAATTAAAGTGATTAAAATTAGAATAATAATGTGATTTGGCGTGTATTATGTATGTATATGAGATATATGTGGAACATTTCTGGAAGCCAAATATTTCTAAGTTTTTCTTAGCATGTAGTTTTAGCTGAGTTTGTATTAATATTTTGATTTTTAGAAATTTAACTTAGGACTCTTCCTATCTTTTCTGTATTTTAGTGCCTCAGACACAGTAGAAGGTGCAACGTTAGAGGAAGGAGGTATTGCATTTGGATTCACTGAGCAGAAAATAAACATGATGGTCCTGGATATCTGCCACAAACCAGGTGGCAGCGAGTACCTGAGGCAAATTTATCACATCATCCAGCTCAATGAGGTAGGGAAATGGCCTTTTCACCGAGCAATTAGGTGTGTACTGGCCTGGGGCAGCGTCTGCTGGCAGTTAAGGGTTAGTCAAGGAGGTGATAATGGTTCTTAAAGTCGATATGAAATCCTATATTGTATTGTAATAAAATCCATTCAGTTTAGACTTTTCTGTGTTTCTATAGAAAAGATTACTTTATAGGAAACACTATGGATTTTATTTAGGTACTTAGACAGTAGTATGGCTCATAAACTTCCTTAAGTTTCGTATTGTAGACCACAGACACATTTTAGGAGTTCGAGCACAGTAAAACCACTAAAAATTGAAAAAAGGAAGCAATTGTTGAAAAATTGACTGTTATGAAAAGTAAAATTAAATGTGGTAAATTAACTCTTCTAATTTAAAAAACAAACAAACACTGTGGTTCTGCTGAGGAAGTAAATGCATCCACATGAAATCTTACTTCATCTAGACAACTCTATTCAGCTGAAGTGCTTTTGAAGTTACAGTCAAGAAATTCAGTTTTGTTTTCTGCTCATGGAATTTTAACAGCGTAGAAGAATTATGTCATTATTTCTAAGGCTGTAATGAATTGCCCCAAGTTACCAAAAACATTCTGATTTTATTCACTGAAATAAGCACAGGTTTGCTTAAATTGTATGATAACACAGATCTACACAGCTTGATTCAGAAAGTTCTGTTTATTAGCTTTAATTACTAAATTAGTATTCCTTGAATGCATAAGCAGGCCCTGTTAAGACCACTGCAGGTGTACAGAAGTGTTTGTAATAAAATGCAAAAAAATGCAAATATAGGCAGAGACTAGGATTTTTCTTTTTTAAAAAAATGATAGCATAAAAACCCAATTAGACAGTTATGTCTATATGAATGCCATACAGAACATCTTAGTACTGTCACTGTGCTGCTGAAAATGAGATCAACTGTTTAGTTCCTAACTATAGGCTTAAAAACAATCTTTATGCATCTGCATTTGGAAGCGTTAGAAGCATGTATGTAGAAATGGCAACGTAACATTAATACAGTACAGAATCTTTTCAAGTTTCATGTCAAACAATTAACTGGTTTGGGAAGTGAAGTGAAAATTATTACTGTAATAAACAAAACCTTTTCACCTGGAGCACATTCAGGATTACTCTTAGGTATAACAATGAGGAAAAGATGATGAGCAAGACCTCCAAAAATAGCATGTAGTCCAGCAGTTAGGGCAGTCGCCTAGGGACAGGATATGCAGGCTCAGATCTTTTTTCTTCCTGGTTTAGATCAGGGAATTGAATCTGCATCTCCCACATCCAAACTAAGTCCCCAAACCTCTAGACCATTAGCTACCAGCATGGAACTCCTTCTTTTTCCCCTGTTGGAGTTGTTTTACCATGTAGAAATTGCTGTAAAAATGCATTCTGTAACTTTTAGGGTCAAAAATAGAATCATACTCTAGTTGAAGGAATAGGATGCACATACTGGGTTTTGGAGACCTGATCCAAGATCCAACTCCTGTGAGTATTCAGTTATTTATACAAAGTGGAGCAGCTCTAATAGGAGGTAAAAAGCTGAGAGAATTTGGTGGAAGAGGGACGTCAGCCTGACTTTCCACATCCCAGGTGTCTCTCTTTGAATTTCTGAAGCAAGAGCTTTGTTAATTATAGAACATTTCTTAGTGGAAAAAAATGTATTTAAAAAAAAAAAAAAGAGATCCTGACCAGATTGACTCGCAGAAGGACTTAACTGTGTTAGTTTGAATTGCCTTTGAAACCATTACAAAACATTTTAATGCTGAAATTATGTTTAATAGGCCTGACTATCAAGAAAGAGCCTTGGTTGTCTGTTCAAAGATTCACCCTTTTGTTTAGAGACTCCTTGAACTGTAAAGGGATTGTGTTCTTAAAATTAGTTTGGAGATCTTTATGCTCCACTGCTTAGTAATTGTATATGAGAACAAAATGTCGAGACAGAAAATTGTCTTCTTAAAAATATTCCTTAGAAAAGCAGGTGAAAAGGGATATGGATTCTTGGAAACTGTATTTGAAAATAGAGATATGATGTTATAAAGTACTGTAGTACTCAAAACAGCCTACAGTCCTTCATGTATTTATTAAAAATAATAATTTTTAAAAGCATTTTTTACTAATGGCAGCCAAAGAGAAAATTCTTTTGAGGTGTCAAGATCAATAACATTCTGTCTTCTTGGTTTCATGCACAGTCAGTGCAGTGAGGATATAGTTCACATGTTTACACATGTGATTTAATATTTTCACATTTTTGAAACATGACCCTTTCAGAGCATACAATATGTACTATACTAAGGAGATCTTAAAATAATATATTTACCATTGTTGAATAAGTGTCTTCCTGAAAACATAAATCCATAGTATTCCAAAGACAGAAAAAACCTGTAGTGGGGGGTGAGCTGTATACCACTTGAATTGTTCAAACCCTAGCAAGCATGGACAGATATTTCCGTATTGCCTCTGAAAAACTGACATAATGTGCTTCTACTGACTCTGTGTCATCCAGAGGGCTGGGTTGCTTTAGTACTGTCTACAGATTTTGTGAAAATGTGTACATGGAAGCCAGTAAGTTTATGAAAATTTGATAAATTTATAGAAATAGCTTTTAAATAACATCCTTCACAATAATTCTAAGACCTTTTTTTATGGCATCAAGTCATGAATGAGTGGGGAAAACCCAGATATTTTGGAAGGCTGAAAAAATATAGGTAAGAGATTTAGCGTGTGTTTTCACAACTGGTTTGTGATGTTGTTTTAAGTGAAAAAAGCTCATTTTTTTCCCTTTTGTTGTTTGTTTGTTTGTTTTTGTTTTGGGTTTTGTTTGTTTGTTTAAAATACACTAGGACGATTTTGCAATTGTCTTGGTCAGTCCTGACTTTTGACTGCAATCAGCAGAGAGAGGCATCTCTTGCCTTTGAGCTTTTCCACTCCTAGGCCCCCCTTTGTATTCATATTAGAAATTGTGAGGCTTATTTATCTGCATGAAACCTTTCTTTTTTTCTGGCTAGTTTCACAACATATCTTAGTGCCAACACAAGAGAGAAACAGTGTGTGTGGATTGAAAGGGAACTTGTGCCTTTCAGGCCAGGCCACAGCTGGATAAGTGTAAAAGAATGATCAAATTCTTCTTTTAGAAAGACCCTCTGAGGGACACAGGGTGCCTTGGCAGGTAGTTTACATGTTCTTTTGCCTCAGTAGCAGTGCAAATAAGAGGAGCATTTGCTCCCATCTTAATGAAGACTCACCTGGAGTATATGCTTGGTGTTATGGCAATCCTATCATTATGGACTTCATTTTAATAACAATAAACTGCTAAATCACTGTAGTTCTTCCAGCACATAGATGTGTAAATGTTTCATTATCTAGCTCTTCATAAAATGGTTCTATTTAATCAAAACACTTCATTGGCATGCAGTGATGATTTATTTACATAGTAGTTGAAGAAGTGAAAACAGGAAAGATTGTGTCCAAAATAATCATGCATCTGTTACACTATAGTTTCTAAAATTGCCATGTAAATAATAAATTACTTCTAGTCTTTGAATGCTTAAATAGTTAAAAATACCTTTGAAAAGTGAAGTGGGAGAGTATTTATTTCCTGTGTTTAAATAACTGGTTAGAGCATGTTCATCAAACAATTGATTTGCAGTCATGTAGTAACTATTGAATTTTGTTCAAGAAGTTTAATAGAAAGTAATAAAAAACATTTGTTGTTCACTTCCACTAACATATATATATATTAAATGAGAACTTATATGCAGAATGTGATTACAATTTCCAAACAATAGCTTAGATTATTCCGATTTGCTTCAGTTGGATGTTCTTGGAGGTTATTTCTTGTTTGCTGTAAAATGGTGATACTCTTAAAAAGGTTTCTATTTCTAAGAGATTGCCTATTCCCTACTGTATTATAAGGAACTTTTATCAAGCATACTGTAAAGTTATGCTTGAAAGGTAGGTAAATTTCGCTTAGAAAGCTAGGTCACCTATAGTGTTCTGTGGTTGCTTTTTGTTCCAAAAGGAATATTTGAAAGACCAGCTGTCTTGTGAGAATTCTTCTGAAGATGGTGTTACGTCCAGTCAATGCCTGCCTTTGACGCTGAAGGGCAGAGAAGAGCAGCCTGTCTTCAACCCTTTCCAGGTGTACAGACAATCTTGTGCAAAAGTGTTCAATCAGGTTTGTGAAAATCTGAAACCTTGGTTATAGCATAATTTTTACTTGTCAGTCTTATTGCGATAATGACAGATACTGAATTTATGAAAATGGAATTAATTACATGCGTGCATGTGATGAAGTGCGAAGGAATATTATTACTCGGGAATCTAATGAGGGTACCCTCTACAACAGCATGATCTTCAAAAAGCCATTATTGTCCTTTTCGTTTATCAGAATTATTGCACGTAGGAGCAATTTGCATTTACTTATACCTTCTGTGTCCAGTATAGTGAAGGAAAGCCCATAAGCAGCAATGACATTTATTACATGTGTGCAATGGTACACAGGGTTGGTCTTAATCCTTTTAAAGTCATGGCAAAACTCCAAATGCACATTTAGAATTTTCCTGATGGGTCTTTCGCAGGATTGTCAGTTAAGTAAAGGATACTTTGGAAATACAGAGATTTTACAAAACGGTGATACTAAGCAGAGGTAAAACACAAAAGCATGAAAGCATCCATTTCTCCATTTTTCCTTAAGTCGTGGTTGTAATATGTAAAGGATTATAATTTATTTATAGAATTTAGTTTTCTGACAATGTAACAGAAAAGAGATCTGGTTACCTAAATCTCTGCTGAAGTACCTCATGACCAATTCATTACACAAAATGGTATATAGTTTCTGATAGCACTTAAAAAATCTTATACCATTATTTCTCATATGTTCTTAATACATGATCTGTCATTTTGATTCTGGCCCTCAATTCAAATATTTGAAAAGAGATGGTATTACAGTGGTGTGAAATTCACTTTACAGATTTGTGGTAGAAAGGCATCCTTTTTTCAGCACCGGTGTGCTTATACACGGAGTAATCTCCTTTCCCAAGTTTGACTATTTTGGATTATTTCACCAGTTATATTGTGGCAAAATATACTGTTTTCTCTTACTTGTTTAATGAATGCTTAATCATTGTCGTGTTCCAATATCCTGAAAAAGATGAATACTAACTCTACAAGGCTTCTCACTCCAGAGAAACATGCTTTATAGAATCATAGAATCAACAGAATCATACAGTGGTTTGAGTTGGAAGGGACCAGAAAGAAACACAGAATCACAAAATGGGTAGGGTTGGAAAGGACCACAGTGGGTCTTCTGGTCCCACCTCCCTGCTCAAGCAGGCTCATCCTAGAGCACATTGCACAGGATTGCATCCAGACAGTTTTTGAATATCTTCAGTGAGGGAGACTCCACAACCTCTCTAAGAAATCTGTTCCAGGGCGTGATTACTCACACGGTAAGGAATTTCTTCCTCGTATTCAACCTAGAAAGCCAACTGTATCCTGGGCTGCATCGAATGAAGTGTGCCCAACAGGTCAGTGGTGGTGATTCTGCCCCTCTACTCTGCTTCAGTGAGACCCCACCTGAAGTGCTGCATCCAGCTCTGGGGTCCTCAGCATGGTAAGGACATTGACCTGTTGGAGCGAGTCCAGAGGAGGACCACCAAAATTGTTAGAGGGATGGAGCACCTCTCCTATGAAGAAAAGCTGAGAGAACTGGTATAGAGAAGGCTCCAAGATGACTAACTGCAGCCTTCCAGTATCTGAAGGGAGCCTACAAGAAAGATGGAGAGGGACTTTTTACAAGGGCATGTAGTGACAGGAGAAGGGGGAATGGCTTCAAATAGAGTGGGTTTAGATTAGGTGTTAGGAAGAAATTCTGCACTGAGGGTGATGAGGCACTGGAACAGATTGCTTGGAGAGGTTGTGGATGTCCCATCCTGGAAGTGTTCAAGGCCAGGCTGGTTGGAGCTCTGAACAACCTGGTCCAGTGAAAGGTGTCCCTGCCCATGGCAAGGGATTGTAGCAAGATGATCTTGAAGGTCCATCCCTTCCAGCCCCAACCATTCTATGATTCTATTCTATGATTCTATTCTATGATTCTATTTCCCAGTGATATTGATAATGATATTGATAATAATGATATTATTAAATAGCTTAATTCCCTTTACCATAAAATTGCGGATTTATTAAGTAGCGTGGAAATGTCGATTTTTATACTAGTGATCAGTATAGATGAGAGTCTGGTTTCCTGTGAAGACTGTTACCAGTGCCTTTAGAAGGTGCCAGAGTACTGGCAAGGAACAATTATTCTTCTCAATAGATGTATTTGTTCTTAAATTCATTTGTAACTGATTGGCAACTGCCATGAAGCTTAGGAGTTTATAATCCATGATTAATTTTTTATTTTCTTTGTCGTTAAGTGGATATGTTTTTAATACATCAATCTACATTTTTTCCTTTTATATAGAGGATATATACTCTTGTTCTAGAGCAAAACAATCTACTAGTTTCACAACACATTTTGTCAATTAATTGATTATGTATTGCTTTTTAAAAGTTTTCTCTTAGAAGGGCCAATTGGAATACACTTGGTAATAGTGCCTAGTGCTTCAGCTCTAAACAGAGAATGTATGTTACACTATGTATGTGGCCTATCATAACATGTAAAATGTATTACACCAAATATATTACATAACTATATAGGAACATGTCTACACTGTGCAGTGTAGATATACTCTTAGCTTCCTCAGTAGATGATTTCTTAAAATAAGTTAATTCAAAAGCTTTCCAAAAGATAATTGTTAGTAAACATTTTATGTATTGTTTGTTAGTATAGGTAAAAATCACTGTACAGCAGGGTGATTTACTTTTTTGGTTGAGGAATACATTTAGTGAAGGTAACTCAGTGTAGAGCTGCAGTGGGAGCTGCAGATTGAGCTCTGGGTGAGAGAAATGGTGGGAACCCGAGTCAAGAGGCCTTGAACTGGCCGAGTATCTTTGCACAACAAAGGGCATGGGGACCTGTGGCACCGGCCAGGTGACCGGACACTCAGAGACAGCAGGAGCCATTCCACTCAACTGGAATACACTGGGCTATCCAGCACTTAGACTGTGAAAGTATAAAATCCTGGGTAGTCCTTTATTCAAAGTCCCTCCTTGGGGGAACCCAGCTGAAGCTGTTATTTTGTTGTTGCACTGTGATAAAATTATTTAAAGGACCCAGATGTCTGAGACTGCTGTGGAAAACTTTGTTTGACTGCGTGAGAGTGGGGTGTGCAGGGAGTCAAGTGGGGAACCCATCGACTCTCTGAAACTGCCTGCTGCAAAGTGGTCTCAGTCCCAGCTGTTAAAGTCTCTCATGGTGGTGGAGTAACTGACAGAGTGGCCCTGAATACAGGAAAGCTTCCTTAACTTTGTTCTAAAGTTTTGTGATATTGTCCCAATTGTGTCAAATTTAGCAAGGTATTTAATCATAGTTTCTATGAATTTTACTGCTCCTGAAGCAAAGATCACCGAACCACTATTTTGAGATCAACTCTAGCATTTTTGTTAATGATATGTAAATTTCTTACCTCCAACACTCTAGTTCAGTAGCTGATTTTAGGAAGTGTGTAATTTCTGTTAACAATTTAACCGCATCATTCTTACATTTCTGTAAAAATCTTGAATAATCACCATCTGGTTCTCGTCACTTTGTTGCTCTTGGTTTTATCTGTTTGTCCTGACACCTTAATCTCTGTCAGTGCTACTGCTCCTCTATTGTCTAATAAACTAGGATATGCAACTCCTCAACAAATGCTACAAAGGAACTATTTTCCTTTCTTGAAGTGACTTTTATAAAACTGATCCTTTATTTTTTCCACAGAAGTGATCAGTCTGATGGACTGAATTTTTATCAGGTTTACCTATAAAATTTTGTCTTTGTTTCCATGATTGTTGCTACTGAGTGTTTAGCTTCTCCTTTTTATCCCTCTTGATTTTACAAGTATTTCCTCCATGTTTATTTATCTGCTTTTAATTCAGTGTAGTGTGTAGAACAGTGTCCTGTTTTCTCCTGTGTTCTTCTTCTTGTACTGTTCTCTTAGTGGACTCTTTTACCCTTATTTCTGGTTTATCAGGTGTTCACCATTTCTTCTTCATTCACTTTCCACTTTCACACTCTTTTGTTCTTTCTTTAGCTACCCTTTTTTTCCATTTGTACTCTGTATTTCACCCTTTTTTTTTCTACTTTACTTTAAAGTGCATGTCTGAGATGAGGGTTAGGGAGTAAATTAAGTAAGGAAAAGGAAAGTAATAAAATAAAGATGGAATGAATAGGGAGGATTGCACTGATTCTGTTCTCCCAGAAGATCTAAGTGCTGTCTGTAAGAAGGCAAAGATGCACTGCAAGTTATACTTTACTATATTTAGGTTTATTTTCACTGTTTTGAAAAATCATCATGAAAAGATGAAACCCTCTAACACTACTTTTTAAATGTTAGTGAGCCAGGTGTTGCTTTATTCTGGCCAGAGATAGGTAGTGAATCATTCCAACTACTTACGTCCCTTTCAAGACTTTTCATGTATTTATACATTTTGGCAAACAAAGAAATTAACAATCCTTGGTTCTGAGTTACACAATTCTCTTCACTTAATTAATATTCTCTCCTTTATTGGCTATTGGTCTGCATTCTTTGGTCCTGTTATCATTCTTCCTTAGACAGAGAGTCTCCAACTTTCAGGCTGTAATGTCTTTGTTATCCCCTCTGTATCCTCTGGTTACTCCAACATGTCTTTGAAGGACCAAAAATTGTAACATCCTGGATGTCCAATCCTCAGTTCCCTTAAGCTTTGTTTATTGAAGCTTATCAGAACTAGTCCAGAGAAACTCAAATCTTTGCTGATTTCAAGATCAAACCACCAAGAGTCCGTAAAAAGAAACATAACCACTTGCTACCATTAGTTAAAGTTTAGGAAAGTTATATCATTCGCAACATCACAACAGTAATTTTTTAATTATTTCCTCCCACGAATGTTAAATTCTAGTCACTACTAAACTATTGCTGACAATGAAAAGTAATATTATTCAACAGGACTTACTGTTTTGTAAACAAAATAATGTTATGTGTGGTCTTTTGGCTGCCCGCAATTATTCTAGATTGCTTTTATTACTAAATAAACAATATGGAGTTATATTTGTTCATATTGTGTAGGTGTACTGCTGTTTATAATAACTATCTGGTGACTGGAGTGCCTTACAAAACAATAGGCAACCAAACCTTCACGCTAATTATGATACAGGTTACATCTTGAATTCCAGCTACACCGAGTTTTTAATGACAAACTCTTCACCGACAGCAGAAAATAAAAATTGCTGTTACAAAACTGTTTTGCTTTTCGGACAAAGAGTCAGCTCTCAGACGAAGTGGTTGGGCACAATGCCATTAACAGTTGAAAGAATAAAAGTTCAAAAAAATGATTTATCTTTTTGTAAACAATGGCTACATCCCTAAATGATTTATAAACTAATTGCCATCTTACTGAAATAAAACTTCTCTTCTGTGGACATGATTGATGTCCTCTTTCTAAGTCCTGGTTCTAGACACCCCCTCCTTCTTGGTTAGTATATCACAGCTGGAGCTTTAATGTACTGATCACGTTAATGCTGATTAATAACTAACTAGCTTCTTTCTATGTATCAACAGTCAGCCAGTACTGAATGGAACTGGGATTGGTCAAACTTGCTGCCAAGTTGCTTGGGATTGAATCAGATGACCTTCAGGGTGCTGCTGACACACAGGTAATGGGATTTTGGCAAATAATCATGCTTTCCTCTTATGTTTTTGACTTTATGATAGCCAGTGTACACGGGGTTTATTGGTGAAATTTGTAAAATATATTTTGCATTTCTTTTAGAATATGCAATATTAAAATGGAGCTACTTTTTTTCTAGTGTATATAATCCATACTCAGATGGTTTTTGATTCCTATTTTGAGGAATCTAATATGTTCTTCCTGTCTGAGACAGAAGGATATGAATGTGTGTTGATGTTACACTTAAATAATGCTTTAAAAAGAAATTAGGAACTTTTGCAAATCTGTTCTGATCAGGGAGATTTCAGCACAAAATTTAGAGCATGTTTACTCAATTTGCAAGGTATCTTAAATTTGTTTGGGGGCATGACAAGTGTAGCTAGAAAGTGTTTCCTTAGTAGTTTTTAATTAATGAAAATTATTTTAATATTTTATTGCTTTTTTACCTGTAAAATTTAACTACTTAATTTTTAGGCAGATATATTTACTGCAAAATTAACACTTGTTAAATTCAGAAACAGCAACTTATTAAGTTCAGAAAATTTTAGGTGGAAAAACTGGGTATTTTACTAAAATATTTCCCACTTACGAAAACTGGAAAATTTTCATGTTGCAAACTAGACATTCCCTCCTTAATTCTGAACCCTCCTGATGATACCTAATATGGTCCTACAATTCATCTTTTAAACTGAATTGTTTCTCTATCTAGAAACCAGAGTAACAATTTCAAAAGTGTGTCAATTTGCATGTTAAAAATGTTGTAGTTTTTTTATTCCATTTTCTCAATTTATCACTAGCAGTCTTACACATTTACTTCTTCCTTCATTTCATATATAAAATATTTGTAGAGTCTATTTCTAATCTTCTTTTTTAATTTTGTTAAGTTTAATTTTTTCCCCACACAAATTGTTCTTTCCAAAATTTTAATGCAATTGCCCAAAAAAATCCTGCTGGCAGAAATTTGCTATTCAGTTCTCCTCTCAATGTCCAGTGTTACCCACTACCAGGCAGAATGTGAGACTTCACAGACTTTTTGATCTGTACCCAGTAGTCTTATTTTTATGTTAAATGACAGAGACAATTCAGTATTATTTTTTTTTCTTTGATGGTTCTCCTCCTGATTGCTATTTCTGCATTGAAAGTGAAGTAGTTTGTCCTTTTAACATTGTCATGGAAGGTCTTAGAATCAGACTGGTTCTTGAACTTCCCTTCATGTTGATGTCATCAATATAAGCCAAATGGAGCAGAGGGTTGCTGTGATTTGTAGAGGGAACGTTTTACATGAACATTTCATCTGCTCTGTTCTCTTGAAACACATTTTATTTTTCTTTTGATCTCTTTATAGAGTTTAGAAAGAAGTCATGTATATGCCTTCTCTGTCCTTCTCTCTATTTCATGCCTTTGTCATATCATCTACTGTTGCTTTTTTTTTTTTAATTTAATAAGTGCCCTAATTGTTGTCATCCTTCCTAATTCAAAAATGTCTCCATTCATTGCCCTTCTGCATGGTATGGAAATTCTCATCTAGAAGTGGCATTATGCAAGCCATTAATGATTAGCTCATGGATTTATTATTTTAACCACTCTACTTTACAGACCAACAGATTGTTTAAATCCATTGTGATGATTAACTAGAATTGCTGATCCAGTATCTACCATAGTGACCAGTATCTCCAACACAACTTGTCTTTATGTGACCCAATTTTTAGCATAGTTAATGTATGTCTGCACATATTTTCCTGCTGACTAGGACAGTTCTAGCTGATCTTGTGACTACTCAGGCAACCTTTTGCAGTGAGACTCAGGTGAGCACTATCTTTTGGTGATGCTCCATGATCCTTCCTAGAATTGCATAAGTTTCAGCCATCTTGTGCTCAGGAGTTAACGTTCAAGCTGAATAAGTGTGTGATTATTTTGACCTCCCGTTTACAGTGGACCCATTTCATTTCTACTATTTACCTCCTGAGATGAGTTAAACAAAACCAAGGGCAGTACTTGAACTGTGTCAGAACCATAAGTTTATAAATTGGAGTGCCATAATATTTTAATTATTCCTTCTTTGACACATGCTAAAGGCTTTCCCTGATCAGTTACTTCTCTTCAGGCAAAAATATTTTTTATCAATTCACAGTGATACTGGAGAGATATATTTCCTTTTTTCATGTTAAAGAGAAAATACTGTCAGTTGCATATGAAATAAAATAAATACTGTCTACTCTGGCAGAAAAAAAAGTGAAAATGCTTAGGGGACTCATTTACAGTGGAAATGCTCCCCTAACCTACTTAATGACTGAGTTAGGTGAGAGGGGGTTATGAGAGCATTGTCTCAGAGCCAGCAAGTGTTAAGCGAATTAATTGGTTGGTGGTTAGGGGAAAGTAAAAGTGTTTTAGGACTGGTTAAAAAGGGAATGAATTGTTGTCTACTACTCATTGCTGGCTCCACACTACTGTGTGGATCTAATCCACACATTCTTATAATCCTCAAAGTAAAAGCATTAAGATAGATTTTTCAAATTAAAGATGTAGATAGTTAATGATATTATTTTATTTCAAGGTTATAAAATATAGAATGCTATCAGAAGCAGTAAAGAGTAACATGGAAAACCTAATGTTCATCTGTGTTCACAATTAATACCTTTAGATTATGTAAGAAACTCTTCCTACAGGAAGAAAAGGGAAATATAAGGGATTTCTTTCCTTTCTAGTTTTACTTTTGTTTTTTTTTTTTTTTACAAACATATATATAGGTAGTTTGAACTACGAGAGTAAAAGTTAAAACATACCTTTCAATAATACCTTTTAATATTGTCTGTTAACATTCAACTAACTTATGAACTTGTCTTACCCAAGTTTTAGAAAATATCCTGCATGCTTACACAGATGCATGCTGCTTTGTTGGATCTTGGAACTCACCTGTACATCCTGAGACATTTCAATACCAAATGGGAGTTCTTTACGTCTAATACATGTATTAAAGTGAGAAGAGCAATTATTATTTAATTCACCTGTATCTCAACTTTTAGTTACTGATCTGCTCATAAAGCAAAAGTTGTTATTGTCTGGCTAAATCAGCATGTTGAAAATGTTTCTGCAGTTTAGTGTAGCAACTCTTAGTTAGCAGATCTCTTCTTTTTAACTGTTTGGCCACTGTCTCTGCATATTATTATGTTAGTGACTGTGGTGAGTTGTTCCTGGCCAATGTCTGTACAGCTGGTGGCTTGCTCTGCCTTCAGTAGAGTTGGGGAGGGAACTGGAAGAGCAAAGTGAGAAAACTCCTGGGTTCAGCTAAAGACATTTTAATAAGTGAAGCAGCACAAGTAAACAAAGCAAAACAAGGAATTCATTCAGTGCTTCCCATGCACAGGCAGGTGTCCAGCCGCTTCCTGGAAAGCCAGGCACCACACACTTAATGGTTACAGGGCGAGGGAAATGCCATAGCCCCTAACATCCCCCATTCCTCCTCCATTCCCTAGTTTTTATTGCTGAGCACATTTATATGGCATGGAATACCCACTTAGTCATTTTGGGTCAGCTGTGCCCTCTCCCAGCTTTCTGCACACCTCCAGCCCATAACGTGGTAGGGCAAAGTGGGACAAAGAAATGGCCTTGGTGCTGTGCAAGCAATACTCAGCAACAGGCAAAATGCTGGGGAGTCGTCAACACTGAGCTACAAATCCAGAGCACAGTACCATACATTACCCTTCTTGTTTATGTACTCTCCTCTATACCGATATATAAGTTAAACTTGTGGTCATTTATTTTTAAAGTATCTCAGCAACTTGTACATGGTTATAAGATATTATTATTTTGCTGGGCTTTGAGATGTGACCTTCACCTTCCTTCTGCAGTTCTACAGAACTTTCAGATGCACTGAATACTTTACTATGAAGAATAATTACATTCTGCTCAGCTATAATGATGAGAAAAAAATTAGGCATTTTTGTAACATGTGAAACCATTATCCAATTGCAATAATATGCTGTTCTGAAGAGCAATGGCTGGGTTTTCTTCCTCTGCACTTAGGCAAGTTTCACAGAGCACTGGTTACAGTGCAGGAAAATAAGTAGTGATTTGGTTGGAATGGTGTGGATCCTGCTACAGGAGAACTCTGAGGAAAACAGGAATAGACAGAGAAGAACTCATGACTGGCAAAGCCAATGACAGTCAGGTACAAGTTCTTTAGAACAGAAAATGTAACAACTTAATAACTGAGAAGGGAATGATAACACATTTTGCCGTAAGTGCATCAGGTGAGAATACCAAGTTAGAAAAACTATACAAATTAAAACTAATATTTGTTCAAGTGGATAAGAAATGCCATGAAAAATGTCTAGACTGAAAAGCAGAATATGATTTCCAATAGATATACCAGTGTAGCTCAAGAAGAGTTTTCCAGAAAGTATTTACACAGTGAATTGACCTTAAAGAGTTTTAGGTTGAGATAGTGTCTAGTCAAGTTTCAGTCATGCGTTCCTTTGATAGATATTCTGAAAGCAGCTTCTGAAAGCAAGTAGGAAACCTGGAGTTGTTTATATATTGACTTTAAGGAAATTAAAAAAAAATAATGTTTATTTTCTACTAAAACTGGGTAAAATATGTAACTATGCTTTCTAGTAAAATTTGCTGCAAAGTATACAAAAACTCTCACATCCCTTGGACTCCAGATTATTTCTTAACATAGTCTAGATTGCATTCTCTGATGAACTGGTGGACTGTTTGAAAGTGAAATGGCTTTTTAGGGAGGAAATAACTATTGTTGTCAGCAAGGTTTTGCTCTAAGGTTAAGACAATCTTGTATCTAGTGTCTCTGTTTTGAAATCCTTTTCACTGTATTGCATTTTGCAGATACATTTGTTAATATAGTTGTGGCATTTGTCCCCACATTAGAGCTAGGTGATAAAATTATATGTTTTACCATTGATTAAGTTTAGTAGAACTGAAATTAAGTCAAAAGCTCTTGTTTTGAATACTGAATGATTGCAGGGCAAAATTTGCATGGCTCTTGTATATTCCAGTGAATACACAGACATCATCTGTTGAGAGTGGTAGCCATATGGTGAACTATTTATAGAAAATGTTTATATTCATTGTATTGTTGATTACCTAGATATCCAGAAAATGCTCTTTTAAAATCCAGTATATCAACACATGGAAAAATTTATTATGTGGTTTTGAAATTGAACAAAGTGCCAGCAAACTACGTGTGTTTGTTGTCTGTGAAAGACTTTCTATACAACTTTACAAAAGCCTCAATCTGAGAAATGAGTAAAAAAAAATGAGTGAAAATGGTAGGAAGTTCTCTAAAAATTTTTTTGATAGAAGAAAGAAATGGTAGAAGAGCAGTTCTTGACACGATGCCAAGAAGAGAGCTTATCTGCATGGCAGAGGATGTCAGTATTAAGTCTAGTGTACTTTTGGATGTGTTAGTTGTTCTTCTAAACTGCAGGTGCTCCTAGACCTTTTGTATCCAAATTGCTGGATATTGGAAATTCATATTGTTGTTGCGACTACAAGTCGACTATTAACGATGGGTTGATGAAGAACTAGGATGCCATTAATACTACAGTAATCACCACCTGCTTGGTGAGATTATAATTGATCCCTTATAATGCATATGAGAACAGGCTTTCTAAAATGCATGGGAGACTATGAAAGGCAGTATCTCATTGTTTCTGTATCAAAAGAAGCAGGTGAAAGGTATTAATCCATTATTTCATGTCTCTTGGTTGATCGCAAAGTCAGGTATAGACCCTAGTACAAAAAAAAAAGCCGCTGAGATTTTGAGGAAAATCTGACTTTGACCTTTCTGGATAAGCAGCAATCCTTTTCCATAAATGAGTTGGTCAATAACAAGGTATTTGTCACATCTGTCACCATAAGGATTATCATTTGTCTGCTTATCCTCTTCTGATGTAGCTAATGAAACTGTACTCTAACCTGAAAGAATCTGTCAGAAGTAGGCTTAGTTCCCTGCCTGGCACTTTTAAAGCACTGGTGGCAGAACGTAGGTCGGTAAGCAAAAGGAAACAGTATTACATAGTTTGACTGCCACTCAAGCCACTATTATGTATACAGTTATAGCATGAATTTCACAAATAAGTGAGGCTAAAGGTGAGGCTTCCCATATGCAGTACACTTGAGGCTTTTCTGGTTGTTAGCAGTCTCTCTTTCCTGCAGACATGTTGACGAATCCTATGAATAAAACAATATTCTCCAATGACTATCTCCAACAAAAAGTGCTAAAAACGAAAGGATTGCCATATCCCAGTAAACTTAGTTAATATTAATGTTAATATTAGTTAATAAGCTCAAATTAACTTTAATACTTGGAAGTCCTTTATTTTGAGGCCTTTGCCAGCTTAGGATATCAAAGTATACATTTACCAGCTCTCTTTTAATTAAAAATAAAAAAATTCCTTAAATAACGTTTCATGCTAATTTGATCCTTTTTTCATTGCTCAAACCTGGCCCCTAGAATAAGTGAAAGTAAAACGAAAAAAAGGAAGGAAGTACTGGTAATACATCTTTTGCATTCTGAAGTGTATTCATCACAGCTTATTGGCTAGAGCATAGGTCTGTGATCTAAACCTCTTTCTTCTAATAGTGTCTCACAGTAATTTAATTCCCATTTAAAATTAGATCACATTTGTCCACATTTGTATGTGCTTTGATGTGCTTTTATCTTGGTTTAGGAGTGGTACAGCCCAGTTTAGTGCTCCCATTGAGGCTCTCCAAACCATATGCCACTCGCTTGTTTCCCCTCTCCCTTTCTCTCCCCCTGCAGCGGGATGGAGAAGAGAATTGGGGGCAGAAGAGGTCAAGATCACGGGTTGAGAGAAGAACAATTTACTGGAAACAGCAATGAAATAAGAAAATGAACAGTAACAGCAACAATACTAATGACAAAGAGTACAAGAAAGAGGCTAACAATTCACAAGAAAAGCCCCTGAAAATAGACAATAGCTAACTGTCGCGTGGGGTCTTTATATGATAAAGAAATGCAGTCAGCTCCCCGATGAGATGGTAATCAAAGAGGCTTTTATTCAAACCCGGCGCTGTTTTTATCCCTTAAAACCATGTGACCTTGTGACCAATGAGGGTACATATTTCCACGCATGTCCCCTGGGCTTCCCTGCCCTGGGTGCTTCTCCTGCACCCCTGGACACGCCTCCTACATCACCTCCTTCTCAATTATTTAAGACGGTGACGAAAACAGTGCAAAACCAACAGTACAAACAACAGAACAGTATATGATAATCTACCATAGCTTTGCAATGACCCAGCACATCACTTGCTTTGGCTCCTTATACATCTATTGTAAACCTTTTAAAACCTTCTTATATTTCTAAGGGGTAGTGCAACTTGGAAAAATAACTTTATTAACCTAGGGGCCTTAGCCCAACTGTGCATAGACTTATAACCTTTATTAATCTGACGGTTTAAATAACTGGGAAGTTCAACTTTATTTCAAAAACAGGATAAGCTTACCAAACTAAATTCTCTTAAAGTGACCATGTGATGGAGGTAGTGTTATTTTGTGAGGTGTTTGGTGTTTAAGGCACTTGTCCAGTCAAACAACTCTCTTATTCATTCACACAGACATTCACTGACGGCCGTCATTCCATTCATCATACACACACTCATGGATTTTGTATGGACTCTGCATTTTGCCACACTGGTCATCCTCAAATGTAAACCTGAAACGGAAACATAACTTTTTTATAACTTCTACATTACTCTGGTTCTTGCTGCTGTGGTTGTGTACCTAGGTAGGGTCTAACACACCTGGAGGGAATCCATTTCAGCTCATTTCCTGTAGCCACACAGGCATAGCCTCGCCCCCAAGTCATGAGGTCCACCGGTCCTGTCCACTGCCCTGAAATCAGATCTCTCACCATGACTGGTGGTTTGGGAGAGGCAAAAGCCTGAGGCCTGTGCTGCCTTTCGTGCCTGCTTTTTTCATCACTGTCACAATTTAAAAAATTTAGGACATGTGTGGCTTTCCACAGACGCTCTTGCAGACTACAGACTGATTCCCCCCTTTTCTGTTTAGTTAACATGTCTTTCAGTGTGCGATGTGCCCTTTCAGCAATTGCTTGTCCAGTGGGTGAGTGTGGAATACCTGTGGTGTGAGAAATTCCCCAATCTGACAGGAAGTTTCTTACCTTTTCTGAAATGAAAGATGGCCCATTGTCAGTCTTAATCTATTTTGGGGTACCAAGGGTTGCAAAACAACTGAGCCAGTGTCTTATTACATCCTTGGCCTTTTCTCCAGTGTGTGCAATGGCGGTTATGTATTGTGAATGAGTATCTACTGTAATGTGTACGTATTTTAATGTGCCAAACTCGGCTATGTGTGTGATATCGTTTGCCAAATCTCATTTACCATTAACCCTCTGGGGTTTATGCCTTCCTGAGATGGCATGGGTGTGATTTGCTGACAATCTGGGCATGACATGATTATGTCTCGAGCCTGATTGAGTGTTATTTGAAATTGTCTCTTCAGTGAACGTGCGTTCTGGTGGAAAAATGAATGAGACAATTTTGCTTGCTCTGACTCTAGGTACAGTGTTAAACATTGCTGCTTTGTCAGCCTCTCGGTTCCCATCAGCCATTGGCCCTGGCATTTCAGTGTGTGACCTTGTGTGCATTATGTAAAAATCAAACTTTCTGTGATTGACAAGAAACCATATAGAATGCATTTCAAACAACAGGTGAGGGTTAGCAACATCTCGAAGAAACAAACTTTCAAGATGGGACACTAGCCCTGCAGCATAACAGGAATCGGTAACAATATTAACAGGTTGTTCAGAAAACTTTCCCAAGGCAATACGTGTGGTAGCCAGTTCAAGAACCCACCCAGAACCCTGGTTTATGGTTTGTACTTCTCCTTCCCATTGTCCTGTGTCAGGGTTTACCCATGCCACTGCAGCTTTTTGGGTCTGCCCAGATGTATCTGTGAAGACCATAAGGCCTTTCACTGGTTCATGTTTGCATCTGGTTGTGGCAGCTGGTTCAGTGGTGTGGAGGCTGTACGTGGTGGCTACAGGCACACTCAGACCGACAGAAGGCGGCTGTGAGCTCTCACAGTCTGCTGGGCGGGGTGGGGGCTCAGGTGCTGTGGTGGGGTTTCACGGTGCGGCTTCTACGGGTCCCGCACTCCTTCTAGCATGGGCGCGGGGCTTGCAGAGGCGGCAAGTGAATGCGGGTGGGCAACGGCTGCGTGGAGCTGTGGCACTTCTCTGCTTGACAGAAAGGTGCGCCAGTGCGGGGTTCACAGGGTCTCACGGTTGGGTTGAGGGTGTTCAAGCAGCAGTGGTGCCTCTTTCCGCGCTCGGTGCTTAGCACATGGCAGTGGCGGACGGCAGGGGTTCCGGTGGGGTTCGGCGTGCTCCGCCGCTCGTGTTTCCGAGCTGCGGGCTCGCAGCCACTCAGGGAGCAGACCTGGCCGTGGTGTTGGTTGCTGTCGCTTCTTTTCAGTTCACTCTCAGCTGAGATGGTTGGTTGACCTCGCTCTCCTCTCTCCACTGCTGTCCTGGTTTCTTGGCTTCTTCTTCTTCTTTTTTCTTCTTCTCTGTTCCTATGCACTTTCCCTAATATTTTTTGAGCTCTCTATACTAACTGCATTTCTCAGGATTGACTGAGACAATGGCTTAAAGATGTCTGAGTTTTTTTCGGTGAAAAATTACCATATTCTAAAAATTAATAGGATAACTGGAATTTACTGATATTCCCCTGATTCAGGGATTTCTATTCTGGCCTAATGTAGGTTTTAAGCCGCACGTTGGGCGCCATATGTCGTGTGGGGTCTTTATATAATAAAGAAATGAAGTCAGCTCCCTGATGAGATGGTAATCAAAGAGGCTTTTATTCAAACCCGGCGCTGTTTTTATCCCTTAAAACCATGTGACCAATGAGGGTACATATTTCCACGCATGTCCCCTGGGCTTCCCTGCCCTGGGTGCTTCCCCTGCACCCCTGGACACACCTCCTACAGCTAACCACTCCCTCCACCATGCTATGCCAATCTTGAAAAGAGCCTTTCCTCATCCATGAAAAATGATGTTATATCGTATAAAATAATCTCTGTGTTTTAGCCATGCTCCCTCCTGGCTATTCAAAAATTACCCTGTCCTGGCTGGAACCAGGACATAATATTCTATACTATCTACAACTTATTCTATACTATCTACAACACGCCCAAATCCTATCTCTTCCAAGTATATACATATGTATATATGGGCCATCCCTCCAAGATGTCTGTTGAGTTCATTTAGTCCATGACTGTGGGTTCTATCTGTCCTAGATATCTTCTAGGGCAGGAGGGCTAGTGCTGTCGGCTGGTTACAAGCTGCATCAGGAGCTTACAACTGTTGAATCTAGAGCAATCCATCCTCACTGTCCATGGCAGTTATGGCATACAGTGGCAGTGTCATTCAGCAATCAGTATTATACAGTTTAACATTACAAACTCTTCTGACCCAAAAATCAAACTCCCATTGAGGTAGACATCGTGTTTCCCTGTCATTCTGCGTTACCCACCAAGTACACTCAGGTCCTTGAGCAAAAACAATCCAATGGATGGGTTTGCCTTTGCTTGAGGCAGGATTGATCCAAACTGTCTTCTCTAACAGGTTCCTCATATGCACCACGGGGACTTTATTCCCTTCCACAGTATGCGGAAGTTTTAAATGGGCAGGGCCAGCTCGACTGGTGGAGCCTCCAGTACTACCTAAGCAGGTGGCCTTCACTAAATGTAGATTCCAATGTTTGAAGGTCCCACCATCCTTCACTTTCAAAGTGATTTTTAACAATCCATTGTACCTTTTGATTTTCCTGGAGGCTGGTGCATGGTAAGGAATATGATATACCCACTCAATCCTGTTGTTCTTTGGCCCTCAGCAGTGCCACAGCAGAAGGGTCCTCTGAGAGACCAGGCAAGGTATTCAGCTGTCTAATTTCTTCTGTCTCCACAGCAGCTATCCCAAAAGCCCAAAGATAGCCTTTTGGGTCCTTGCAATATCCTTCTCTCAGGTAATCTGTGCCAAGGATACACAGAGCTTCTGGGCCTGTCACAATGGGGTGATTTTGCGATTTGTTCATGGTCAGGCTCACTTCAGCTTCCACTGCAATCAGTGGTTGGGATACCCCTCTCACCCTCAGAAATAGAGATGGATTTAGTCCCCTACATGTCTTGATGGCATCAGGGGACATGGTGTCAACTAAAGCCTTATACTCTTGTGGGTCTGATGTGCCAGGCTATTGTATCCATATAGTCCAGTAGATCCAATTTGCCCCTTTGCTGCTGGAGGCAGGGCTTGTCTAGTTCTGGTCATGGTACTCGTTGCTCACTTCCTGTAAATATGAACTGGAGGTCCATTCAAAAGGATCAGAAGAACATCAGCCCTCCTATTCTATGTGAGGACTTGGCCACTTGAAACTGCAGCAGCATTTATCCTTGAAGAATTTCCTGTGGGTAGGTGTTCTTCCTCTTAATGATATACCCATTTTGCTAGGGCAGAGGTGGGTTTTCCATCCCACTTCCTTGTGTCCTTTCCCTGGTCACACAGGAAAAAATACGTTACCCTCTGTCTCAGAGTGGCACTTACTCCCAGTAGCAGAGACTCGTCCATACTGGCAGGGCATGGGACATTTCCTTTCTAACTCGCTGGAGTCTTTTGAGTCTTTCCATAGTCTTGGTTGGACTTACTTCAGCTGGAGTGCAGGTTGGTAGGGAGTAAAAAAGATGATCTTCATATTGTCAGTCACATAGTTATCTGAAGCACTGTTTGTTCTCCTTTCATTGACATCAGTGCCAATGAGTTGCATCCAGTGATGGCATGCTCCATACAAATTTCTGCCACATGGATTTTGTACACTGGACTTCATCTG